ACGTCCACGTCCCTAGTCCAGCTGAGCCCGAGCCCCAGGCGGCAGGAGGGGGCGGGGCGGGGAGACGGGACCACGCGGAGGGGCGGGGCTGACCCAAGCACCCAGGGCCGGGGGGGCCTCCATCTGAGCCCCTCACGCCTGCCTGCCACAGAGGCCGGGAATCCTGAAGGCCCTAGGCAGGGAAAGCGTGAGAAGTGGAATGTAAAGGGCCTGGCCTCGGGGGCCCAGTCAAACCCAAAGAGCCAGGAGCCAGCTCAGGGCTGCAAAGGTTCACCCAGGGCTCCAGGGCAGGGGCACTCCTGGGGCTCGCCCCACGATCAAAGCCACCTGCGGCATGGAGGGCATGTCTGGGCTCCAGACTCAACTCTGACAAAAGGACATTCACTTTCCCATCAGGGTGGCACGTGTCTGAGAGCAATCGACAACGTCCCCTCCGGCCAAAGCCCGAAGGAAAGGGAGGAAAGCCGCTGGTTCCGGCGACGAGGCCTGACTAGGGATAAACATCACCCCCAGCGGCTGGGGCCACGATCACATGGGAGCCTGAAGACAGACGCCGTCACACCGGACACCCGCCCAGCAGAGGCGCGGGGCTCGGACCCCTCGGGGCTCCCACTGCTACCCTCTGGCCCCCAGACCACGCTCCTGAGATGGTAGCTGAGGGGCCTGACCCGGGTTATGTGAAGGCACAAGAGCGCTCAGTGAGTCCCTTGGGGACGCCTCCTTCTTCCCCATTCACAAGACGCCTCTATCCTGCAGGCAGAGCTCTCAGCCCCGGTCCCTCTGCAGTGAACGAAGTGGCCATATCCCCAGACACACAGACACATTCCCACTTCCTGTCTGGGAATCCAGCTCCCTTCCTGTCTGAACCAGACAGCCTTTCAAGAGCCAACGCCTCCAGGAAGCCTTCTCTGACTGCCCTGGTTTCACATTCTCTAGCCCCTACATCCCTGGCCGTACAAGCTACATCACTCAAGGGGCATGCAGCGTGTGTGTGTGTGTGTGTTTGTGTGTGTGTGTGCGCGCGTGTGTGTGCGTGTACGTGTGTGCATGGGCACACACCACTCCTCCTCAGCCAGACAGCAGGCTGCCAGGGAATGGACTCACCCACTACTCTGTCAGGGTGATCTTGTTGACAGATGCTGCTGAGTGAGGGCTCTGGGCAGAAGCATGCCGCCTTACACTCAGGTCTGGCCTGGCACATCTATGCCTTCTCTGTGCCTCTGTCCCAGCTGAAATGCCCCTTGGCTCACAGTTTCCCCCTCCCCCTCCTCACAGCCGCCTCCACCTCCAGGAAGGCTTCCCTGACTCCCTACCGAGGCCAAATACTCCTGACCTCCCAGCCTCCTCAGTCCCTGCCACGTCCTCCCTCTAGACCCGACGGTCCTGGGACAGAACCCCAGCATAGGGCGACCCTCCAACCCCGCCCTCGGGGAAGCCAGCTCACCACACATGAGCTCGTCGGAGCCATCGACGCAGTCAGGAAAGGAATCGCACTGCTGCTTGATAAGGACGCACTGGCCGCTGGCGCACCGGAACTGGTTGGGCAGGCAGACGGCTGCAAGGAGGGGCCTTGCGTTCAGAGAGGCTGCAGGGCATGATGCAGCCAGGAGCACTAAGCAGATGACCTCCACCGGGGCTCCCTGCCCCGCCCCCCCAGACCCAACAACAGAGGTCTGGGCTCCAAATACAGAGCAGACAAACGGACCCTTTCTAGGACCAGGTCGGGGCGTGGTCACAGCAAAGCCAGTCTTCACCCACCCCTCGAGGACCCCAGTTCCGAGGCCCACGCAATGCTGGGGGCGGTCTGGCAGGGAAGAGACCTCAACGACCCAGGGAGGTATTCATTCATCAGGTTCCTACCATGGGTCAGGCCCGCAAAGCACCGGGACTACCACGGCCCCTGTGCCCAGGCCCTCCCAGGTTACCAGGAAGGGGACAGCCGCTGGCTCCACAAGGAACTGGGCTCCTAGAGTGGGAGGGGCAGGGGACAGGGGATGCGCCAGCAGAGCTCTGAGGGTCAGGAAGGGGGAGCACAGCGCAACCGGAAAGGCAGAGGCGGGCCACGCAAGGAGGACGAGGAAGGCTGGGTGCTGACTGCTGCCTCCCTGCTGACCTGGAAAGGGCTATGGCCCCATGAGGAAGGCATCACCCGCCCCCAGTACTTGCCGTCTAAGCTCCCCACCCGCCCTGCCCCAGGCGCCCACTCTGGAAACCAGAGACAAGGAACCCTGTCCTTGCAATAAGTGGGCAGGTCTGCTGGTAACCTAGCAGGAGAGGAGGCTTCTGAAACAGAGGGCAGAGCCCAGAGCCTCCACTAGGGCCTGCTGTCCTCCTGATGCTTCCTTTCTCCAGGAGAAACAGTCACAGCGGGAGGAGGGAGGGGACGGTCCCTAATCAGGGCTCCTGCCACCTGCTGAGATCTTGGACACAAGACTGTGCTGGGGCCAAGGATGTAAGGCAGGGCTCAGCAAACTTTTCTGTATAGAGCCAGATAGGTCTCTTTTGTAACTACTCAACTCTGCTGTTTCCGCGCAAGACCAGTCAGAGACAATACGTAAATGAATGAGCCTGACTGTGTCCCAGTAAAACTGCATTTACCAAAATAGGTGGTGATCTGGATTTGGCCCTCAGGCCGCAGCGTGCTCATCCCTGGTCTACAGTCTCCATCGAATTCAAAGGGGCTGTGAGCTGGAAAGACTTAACAACTGCGGCTTTCTAGAAACATCCGGGGAAATGACTCCCAGGCCTTCACCTTCCACAGAATGGCTGCTCACCATGAACGGGGACAGTGGACAGATAATATCTGAGTTATCCAAGAAGAGGACCGGTGGCTGTGGGGCGGCAGCTAGAACGACCCATTAACAGCTCAGTGGCAGTCATGGGGCCGTGGTGCTGACGGTGTGTGGCGGGAACCAACGGAGCAGGTCATTTTATGTAAGAAAACCTCAGAGGGAGCACAGAAATTTGTTTCACTGTCACGGTCTAAAAGGAAGATACTGCCAGCCAGCGTGGACCCAGGTTGACTAAGCAAATCTCTTTGTAACTCCTGGTTCAAGGGGATACTAGAAACCACCCAGATGTAGGTGTTATCCCACAGACGGCTTGGTGGAGGACAGCACTGCCTTTTGGGATGGGGCTTAACCAGGGTGTAAACCATGCAAACCCAGCTGACTACTGGACTTAACTTGGGTCTCTGTAAAATTCCTGACTGAAGGAGGGAAGGCAAGATAGACCCTCAGTCTGCCTTCAAGCCAAAGTGCTTGGCGAGGCAGAGCGCAACAGCTCTCAGTGGGCCTGCAACTAACCTTCTCCCCTCCCAAGCTGAGGGGCCACGGCAGTTTCGCTCCAGGCCAAGGCTTTATGCGTGACCTGATGGAGCCCAAGCTCCAGGAGGGCGGAGAGCGCGAGCCTAGGGAAGGGGCGGGGCCTCACCGTCGCAGTCCGCCTCGTCCGAGCGGTCCTGGCAGTCAGCCTCGCCGTCACAGCGCAGCCGCAGGTCTACGCACTGGCCCCGCGCACACGGGAACTGGGCGGCCGAGCACACCGGGCAGCCCTCCTCGTCGCTCTGGTCATCACACTCCGGGAAGCCGTCGCAGCGCCAGGCCCCAGGAATGCAGTCGATCTCCCCAGTGGCGCACGCAAACTGGTCCGGGGAGCACGTAGGAGGCTCTGGGGAGGAGAGAAAGACCATCACAGGCCGCCCAGCAGGGCAAAAACTGGGCGAAACACCTCTGGGTTTCAAAGCGGGGAACACGCCCAATTCACAAGTGCTGTACCCAGTCTCCACTGCCCTGCGTCTTGTCTGCGTCCCACCTCCAGCCCCCAGTGTGTGATGAAGCTGTCCGTGTGCACGGCCTGGCTACAGGGGAGTGTCCACCGCACCCCCGCCGGAAATAGGAGGGTCAGAAAGTGGGTGGTCAGCACCCACACCTGTTACACATTTGGGGCAGCGGAGCCAGAACTCTGTGGGTGGCCAGCGAGCCCACAGGTATGGCGGGGGCGGGGGGCACCGGTGGAAGACCCGGGCACCTTGTTGAAGAGTGGGCTGAGGAAAGGCAGGTGGTGAGGATTCCACAGTGGGGAGCAGAGTGGATGAGGATGGGGTTCGAAGGCTCCCTGGTGGAGGGAGTCGTGGAAGGGTGGTGAGCTGGGAGGGTGAAGGACAGGAGATCTGGGGTCACCTCGTACCAGGTGGCCATGGCAAGTCACTTCCCCCTAGGGGTCAACTTCCCCAGTGCAGGCTAAGAATGGGCCAGACGCGCAATAGCACTCAGTGGCTACGCGCAGTGGCACTGTCCTGGAGGCCGAGACGCAGGTGGGCACGGATGCCAGGGCACTGGCAGAGAGACACAGGAGGAGCCCCTTGGTCCCAGGCTGCCCCCATTTCCCAGGGGGCCCGTCATCGTCTCTCCACTCCTCGGTCTGGAAAATCACAGGAAACTGAGCCCCAGAAACTGGTCCAAACTTCGTTTTAACGTTTAGCAACAGTCCTCAATACCCTTGAAATCTGATTAAGGAAAAAGGTGTCGGGAGTTCCCTGGCGGTCCAGTGGTTAGCAGTCGGCACTGTCACTGCCGTGCCCTGGGTTCAATCCCTGGTCAGGGAACTAAGGGACACAAGCCACGCAGCACGGTCAAAAAAACAACAAAGCTTTCAGTTTCACAAAAGTACTGATTTCAAGATGTACTAAGCCTTTCAACATTGGGAACCCACATGCCTCCCCCATAACTGCGGGGTCCACACTGGGCTGAATAGGGATGTGAGATGGGGAAGGAGATGTGAGCAAGAATGAACACAAGGCCGCTGTTCCCACTGGGCTCGGCCACAGAGGACAGCCGGGGACAGAGGAGCCAACGACGGATGTGTGCTCACTGAGCCACCAACAGAGAACACAGGGATGCTGGCCACGGAAAGGTGCGTGTGGACAGTGGCCGAGGCCCCGCTCCTGGACTCCAGCCCCCCACAGCCCAGCAGGAAGAAGAGGGTCCACGTGGGGCAGGCTCCAGCGGCCAGAGAGTGAGGACGGGACAGGATGGGGGTTGCACAGACCTGGGGTTGAACCCAGGCTCCCCCAGCAGCTGTGCGACCCGAGGACCCCCCAACCTCCCAGAGCCTCCGTCCCCTCGTCCCTAAAACAGAAGCAGCCACCCTCCATCACAGGCTCCTCGCGGGAGTAACGAGGACAGCGGAGAAAGCACACGCACGGGCATGTGTGAGCGAGTGTGTGCACGCGTGCGGTGCCTGGTTAGGTAATGTGCGCGTGCGCAGCATTGGCAGTGGCGCTGCTCTGCCGGTGCACGAGGCACGAGGGTCCATGGCACCTCCTGGGAACCTCAGTCAGCCCTTATCCTCCTGTGAGCCCCCAGAGCAGAGGCCAGGGACACAGTAAATACAGGCCTCTTAGGCCGTGAGGAAGGACCTGGCATCCTCAAGTCTGAGGGCCGAAGCCTGGGGGCGGGTGACAGAGGGATGCGTCCTCCCCTGGGGAGGCCCAGCGCTGGGGTCCCAGGGAGAGCTGAGCACTCTGTGCAGCTCTCTCCCCGGCCCCGTCTCCTCCAGGGCAGCCTGGACGTCTGTGGGACCTGCACAACCACTTGGGCCCTGGGGCCGGAACTCAGAAACAAGCCACCAGGAAGCTCAGGAGGGTCAAGGTGGCCCCCACCACGGGACAGTCATGAAACATCCCCTCTGTTCTTGGCCAAGCTCTCTGGGGTTCACAGTGTGAGGTGGGGCAGGAGAAAGCTCCAGAAGGACAGGCCCATGGTCCTGCTTCCCGAGATGTGCTGAGCATATGCCGTGTGTGGGACACAGCGTGGAGGTCGTGGGGGTGAGGATGAGAAGAAAAGGGACAAGAAAAGGGAAGTAAAGACCGGCCCCCAGGAGCTCAGAGGAGGAGGGAAGAAGAGAGGAACACAGAAACAGCACATCCAAGGTCACCTGGGGGACCTGCAGGAAGAGGAGAGGAAGTCCTGGGGATTGGGTTTCATCATGGTGACAATGACAATTATTCCTTTTTATTACTACTGCCATTCTCACAACTAATAGCAGCTGGCATTCCTGTGTGCCATGTGTCAGGGACCATGTAAAGTACTCTGTTACTTAATAACAACCCCATCAAGTAAGTGCTCTCAATTTCTCTATTTCACAGAGAAGGAAGTGGAGGCTCAGAGAGGTGAGTGACCAGCCCAGGGTCACTCAGCTGGGAAGTGGCAAAGCTGGGATTTGAACCCAGGTCTGTCTGACACTGCAGCTTACATTCTTGGCCACTCCCTGTGCAACCTTAGGGAAGAAGACGATCAAGGGTAGAAGGCGGAGAAAAGACAGTACTAAAAAATTAGACAAACCCACTATTGGAGACTTCAACACCTCCATCAGTAACTGACAGCACAAACAGTCAGGAAGGATACAGACAACCTGAACAGCACTATCCATCAGCTGGATCTAACCAACATTTACTGAACACTCCACCCAGCAACATCAGATGACACATCTTCTCAGGCTCACATGGAATATTCACCAAGGTAGACCACACGCTGGGGCATAAAACATACCTGAATGAAGTTAAAAGGACAGAAATCATACAAAGCGTATGCCGTGTGTGAGACATAGCGTGGAGGTCATGGGGGTGAGCATGGGAAGAAAAGGGACAGGGTAAACACCGGCCCCCAGGAGCTCAGAGGAGGAGGGGGAGTATGCGCACATACTCGCTCACACACGCGTGTGCACATGCTTTCTCCGCTGTCTTTGTTACTCCCATGAGGAGCCTGTGATGGAGGATGGCTGCTTCTGTTTTAGGGATGAGGAAATGGAAATTAATTCCACAAAAATTTAATGGAACTAAACTAGAAATCAATAACAGAAAGATAGCTGGAAAATTCCCAACCATCTGGAAGTTACACAACACACTTCAAAATAACACAAGGGCCAAAGAATTATTGAGAATAATTTTAAAATATTTTAACTAACTGAAAATGAAAATGCAATTTATCAAAATTTGTGGGATGCAGCAAAACCAGTGCTTAGAGGGAAATTCATAGCCCTGAAATGCATATATTAGAAAAGAGGACAAAGAGACAGTCTGCTCAGGATACTGGATGCCACAGGGACTATGTATTAAAAGACTGTCAGGCAGCAACCTGGCAGGCAGAGAATCGGGTCCTGCTCAATGTCCCACCAGAAAGTGCTGAGGTCACACCTACCACCACAAGTCAACAGGTTCTGCAGGAGCACGAGGTGGACTGGGCATGAGCACCGTGGCGTCCCATCACCCTTGGCAATGCAGATGTGGGAACAGCCGCCATTGTCCCGGGCACAAGGGTGGGCTGCTGTGGAGAGAAAAGAGGGAGGGGGTCGGGTTCTACCTCCTACCTCAGGACTGTGGCCTGGAGGACGGAGGGGATGCATGCCGGGCAGGAACTCACAAGAACTGGCACTCCAGTAGGAGTGTGGGGGATCCTCACACTTAATTCTTAGGGCAGCCTATGGAGTCTGTTTCTGTTGACACTGCATTCTGCAGATGAGGAAACGGAGGCCAAAAGCACTTATAGAACTTTCCTTACATCATACCCCAGCCTGTCTGCACCAGCTCCCACTGTGCCCACTACCATCATGCTACACTGCCCACCTGTGTGTCTGTCTCTCATGGTGTAGTGGGCTGAGTGGTGGCCCCCCAAAAGATATGTCCACTTCCTAATGCCTGGAATCTGTGAATGTGACCTTATTTGGGAAAAGGGTCTTTGCAAATGACGTAATCACGTTAAGGATCTTGAGATGGGGTCTAATTCTGAATTGTCTGTGTGGTCCCTAAATGCACTGACAAATGTCCTTATAAGAGACGACATAAGAGATGAAGGCAGGGGAGAAGGTCATGTGATGACAAAGGCAGAGACTGCAATGATGCAGCCACAAGGAACACCGGCAACCACAGGAAGTGGGAGGGGCAAAGAACCATCCCCTCCTCTGCCTCCCCACCCCCACCTCCAGCCTCCAGAGGGAGCACAGCCTTGCAGACACCTTGATTTTGGATTTCTCCAGAACTGTGACAGGATACATTTCTGTTGCTTTAAGTCACCCAATTTGTGGTGACTTGTTAAAGCAGCTGCAGGAAACTAATACACATGGAAGTTAAAATAATAAGGGTGTTGAACCCTGGGGAACTTGAACATTTCAATTCAATTAACTTCATGTGCCCAACACCCTGACAATGGTTAGGAGGCTGGGAGGGTGGCTGAGCTCCCTCAGGTGAGAGGAAATGGCGCAAAGCACTCTGCTCCTCACCTGGACCCCCAAAGGCAAATCATAGTTTCTCCTCCTCAACCCTGAGGATTAGGTGTTTTCAAAATGACAGAGTCATGGTTTAGAGCAGGGTCAGCAAACTTTTGCCATAAAGAATCAGAAAGCGAATAATTTTGGTTTCATGGGCTAGGCCACCTAACTAGGTGACCATGACTCTTTGTCGGCCAGCCGCAAAGCAAAGGCAGCCAGGATGACACAGACCTACGGGCTGCAGAGTGCCACCCCTGGTTTAGAGTCTAGTTGTGGGATCTTGTGGGGAGGCAGGATGGATGGCCCATGTCCCAAATCAACACGGCAGAGCTCACCCAAGGACTTCCCGTCCTCACCCAAAACGAGGAGCCTCTCCACGTCACCCTAGACCCCACACATTAGCACTCGTTAGCACCCGGCCTCCAACCTCAAATCTGCTCACTGAACGTCTCCTGGCCCTTCCAGCCGCTCGGTTCCAAGGAGCTGCCGGGCAATGAGCCTGGCTTTCTGCCGACACCAGCAGGCAGTGGGTCTCGACATTGGTGGGCTCAGCATTCACCATTCTGACCATCTGCCAGCAACAACCAGGAACCGGGACCTGGCTGAGGATGGTGTAAGGGGCCAGGTGAACGCAGGCTTTCCAACCCAGAGGCGTGGGGTGCCTCGGTTATCCGGAAGCTAGTTCCTAGTGCCTTCACTTATCCAGGATCCAGCTGATTACCCACAAGGACAGAACCCACTGCCCAGCAGTCAATACAGAAGTGACTGATTCAGAGGTCATGCCCCTCATCCTGAGCAGGGAGCCCAACAGAAAACAAATCCCAGTGCCTAAACTGTGGGCTCTGCCTCAAATCCAAGCCCCATCAGGTTTATTGGCTAGGTGACAGGGGGAAGTAGTACCCTTTCTGAGCCCTACTTTCCTCAGCTGTAAAGTAGAATTATTGTGAAATAACACATATAATGTAATAATATGCTGAGCACGGGACCTGGGGTGCAGAACAGTCAACACATGGTGTGGCCGAGGCAGGAGGCCAACAGTAATGGGCTGGGGTGAGGCTGGTGGGGCTCCAGGGCCTTGAAGGCGGCCAGACCGTGGGCATCACAGGACAAGGACAGTGATGGCTCTGCTCACCCAGCTGGCAGCCCAGGTGTATTTACTGAATGAAGAGAGAAAAGCGAGAAGACAGAGGGAGAGGTAGACACTTCACACACACACACACACACACACACACACACACACCCCTCCATATCCACATACAGCCATATACGGAGGTGGGTAGAGGACCCAGAGGTCCCAGTTACCGACGTCGTCCCTCTCCCAGGCCCCTGGGCACAGCCAGACTGTGGCAGGCAGAATCCTAAAATGCCCCCTAAATGTCCTACCCTACTCCCCAGCTGGGGAGGATGTGAGGAGCTATTATGCCTGTGGTTTTGCTACCTTACTCAGCAGAAGGGATTTACAGATATAATTAAGGTTACTAATCAGTTGATTTGGAGTCAATCTAAAGGGAGACTCGTCTAAAACTGGGCCAAATCTAATCGCAAGCCCTTGGAAAGCGGAGTGGGTTCCAGCTGGTAGAAAAGGAAGTCAGAGAGGTTCGGTCTGTCACTGATGGGGAGAGGGCCTGAGGGTGGCCTCCAGGAGCCGAGAGTAGACTTGGCCGACAGAAAGAAAGAAAAGAGGATCTCAGTCCTACAACTTTCACATTGGCCTGTCCTCCTGCCTTATTCCAGGGGGGCAGTTCAGGGGCCGCTGTGCTCTGTGAAGAGGCCCAGCCTCCCCTCGGCGGTGTCTGCACACACCGCTGCCTGCTGCCCGCTGCCCACCCGCCACGTACAGAACTCCTCCAGGCTGATGTCCTCCACGGCGTGGATGCCGGTCAGGTGGGCGACACGGCCCTGGACTCGTGTCCGCGCATCCCCTGTGGTCTTGTCCACGCGCTCAATCATCTGCTGCTGGCGGTCGATCCAGTAGAGGTGCCTGCCCAGCACAGTCAGGCCCACAGGCTGCACGATGTTGGCATCCTCCAGGGTCAGGCGGTTGGCCCCTGCAAGAGGGAGGCGCTCCCCCTGAGTGGCGGCTGACCCCTAGAGCTCAGCCCACGCTTGCCTCGGGAGAAGGGTGGGCTGCCAGGAGCCTGGGGGACGCCGGGCTCTGGCCAGGGCTGGGGGCTGGGGCACGTTCCCTGGAATTAGGCAGATCTGAGGCCACCTCTCGGACAGCCCTGCTTCTACCTGGGCTGCCCTTTGGCCAGGGCCGTGGCCCCAGTCGCTGGCCCCCGGCAAGCACGGTGCCTCCCCTGCCCCCAGCCCACCCCAACTTCCGGAAGAAAAGCCCCTTTAAGCACTGATTCTCACTCCTCTCTGGCCCAGGGGCCTCCCGGACTGAGGCGGCCACGGCAGAGGAGCTGAGAGCATGGGCACTGGGGGCAGAGCGGTCGGACTCCTCTTCCACCCGACGCTGGGGGCCCTGCACAGCTGGCTCACCCTCTCTGAGCCTCGTCGGCCCCTGCCACCTGGGGATCACTTGGGACCCACATCCTGGAACGGGGCGGGGGCACTATACATGGTAAAGCCCCAGCCCAGTGCCTGCTCGCAGTAGGTCCCCCACAAACGTGGTGACTGCTATGCCATGACTGATGACCAGGACAGCGGGCGTCCTGGTGGGTCAGACGTGGTGGCCGCCGAGGGACCGATCCTCGGGGAGGCTCCAGGGAGCGCACCTGACAGGTCGCAGCTTTCAATGCGCTTCAGGTCGGCGTCCACCCAGAAGAGCTTGCCCAGCGTGTTGTCCACCACGAGGGCCACGGGGCGGATGAGGCCCGTGGTGAAGAGGACCTCGCGCTCGGTGCCATCCAGGGCCGCGCGCTCTATCTTGGCTGCTCGGTCCTGCATGTTAGTGAAGTACAGGTACCTGCGAGAGAACAGCAGGTAAAGGACGGGCACTGCGTCCGCTACGTCCTCAGCCAAGCACCAGAGAGACCGGCCCCAGACCCTGCGGGCACCCAGCGGGGCTTCGGAAAGTGACCAGTCATACGACCCCAGCCTCCAGGGGCTGGATGCGGAGCTGAAAGGTCAGGCCCTGGAGGAGCTGGAAAATGTCCCCCAAGACCTCATGTCTACCTGGAACCTCGGAATATGACCTTACTTGGAAACAAGGTCTTTGCAGATGTAACTAAGTATCAAGATGAGGCCGCCCCGGTTAGGGTGGGCCCGCAACCAGTGAGAGTGGCCTCAAGAGAGAGAAGAGGCCACACGGACACAGAGAGAAGCCCACGTGAAGACGGAGGCAGAGTGGAGGGACGCGGCCACAAGCCAAGGAGCATGCAGGGCCCCCAAAGCTGAGAGGCAGGAAGCAACCTCCCCTAGAGACTCCAGTGGGAGCACGGCCCTGCCACCCTTGACTTTGGCCCCTGGAACAGCGAGGGAATAGACCTCTGTGTTTCAAGCCCCCAGTCTGTGGTCACTTGCGGCAGCCCCTGGGACTAGTACACGCCCCCTCCTTTGATTCCTAAAGAACCATCTTCAGTAACTGAGCCCCCGGGGGCTGCAGGGCTGGTACTCCCCGCTGTCCTCACAAGGAAACTGAATCCCTGGGAGGTCACGTCACCTGCCTGAGGTCACATAGGCAGTAGGTGACAGAGTCGGGATTTGAACTCAGGTCTGCCTGGCGGTCCCCGGGCACAAGCTTCAGCACACAGTGCCTCGATGAGTCTGATTCCCGCCCTGAACGGCTGCGGGTACCTGAGGTGGTCACCATCCTCCTGCCTTCCACCCCCAAATCCTCCCCGATTGGCTTTATTTCCCAATCTCATGTCATGTGGTTTCGGCCCCCTCACCCTCCCGCCCTGGTCCTTCCCTTTGGGACCCTCCACATGTGTCAACGTGTCTCAGGTGCTCTCCCACCTACCAGAGAACCTGAGGGCCCATCAGGGAGCTTCAGGGAAGGAAGAAGCTCCCAGTCAGGTAGTGACCTCCCCTAGGCAAGTGAGTAACCCACCACCACGTGGGACGCTGTGGAAGGGATGGTTGAATAGGGTTCAAGTTGGATGGGATGGTATGAAACCTATGAATCACATCCTGCCTGTGCCTCTCAGCAAAGCCCTCTCCCCTGCACAGGCTTTCAGTCCAGGCCATCCCTGGGCGTCTCTGCCTCCCTGCCATGCCTGGGAATGAGCTGGTGTCTCCCTGCCCCACTCTGGCTGCAGATGGGAGTGTCGGGGGTGGAAGATCCCTCCCGGCCCGAGAGGCCGGCATTCACGGGAGGGGCCCCTGGCACAGCCCAGCGGGTGCAGCACCCCACCCGCGCGGCCCCGCACCCTCGCTCGGCGTTGACGACGATGGCCCTCGGCTTGTCGCGGTCCCCGCGGAGCACCACGCCCATGGCTTCCCCGTTCAGCCGGTGGACGTTGATCGTGTCGGTGGCCTCGCACGTCCAAAACAGGGTCCGGCTGTAGACGTCCACGCTGAGGTCGTGCGGCTGCCTGTCTGGGTTCTGGCTTTGGCTCGGAGAGGTCAAAACGAAGGGCTGTAGGGTGGTAAGAAACGAGCACCGGCTAAAGTCACGGTGGGGAGGGCGGAGGCCTGTGCCCGCGTGCAGAGCAAATGTCAGAAGCCCAACCGTGTCTGGGAACCTCTCCTTTCAAACCAGCTCTTGCCCACACATCCGCTTGAGAGTGAAGCTGATCCCCCCAACAGCCTCCAGGAGAGCTCTAGCCCATGGGCTCCGAAGCTAGGCCCCGCCACCAGTGATGGCACTGGACCCGGCTGCCTGGTCGTCACCCAACCCGGGCTGGCCAGCCTGCGCCCGCACGTACAGAGGGACCGCCCAGCAGCTGAGCGGTCAGCCCGGGATCACAGGCCCCCGGCTCAAGACATCTTCTCACTTCTTGTTTCCTTAGACTCAGACTTTTGGATTAAGGCCCTCAAATCTTTTTTTATCTTTTTTCCTTCCCTTGGATTTTTTTTTTAACATCTTTATTGGAGTATAATTGCTTTACAATGGTGTGTTAGTTTCTGCTGTATAACAAAGTGAATCAGCTGTACGTATACATATATCCCCATATCTCCTCCCTCTTGCGTCTCCCTCCCACCCTCCCTATCCCACCCCTCTAGGTGGTCACAAAGCACCGAGCTGATCTCCCTGTGCTATGCGGCTGCTTCCCACTAGCTATCTATTTCACATTTGGTAGTGTATAAATGTCAGTGCCACTCTCTCACTTCGTCCCAGCTTACCCTTCCCCCTCCCCGTGTCCTCAAGTCCATTCTCTACATCTGCATCTTTGTTCCTGTCCTGCCCCTAGGTTCTTCATAACATTTTCTTTTTTTTTTTTTAGATTCCATATATATGTGTTAGCATACAATATTTGTTTTTCTCTTTCTGACTTACTTCACTCTGTATGACAGTCTCTAGGTCCATCCACCTCACTACAAATAACTCAATTTCATTTCTTTTTATGGCTGAGTAATATTCCATTGTATATATGTGCCACATCTTCTTTATCCATTCATCTGTCGATGGGCACTTAGGTTGCTTCCATGTCCTGGCTATTGTAAACACAGCTGCAATGAACACTGTGGTACGTGACGCCTCCTGAATTATGGTTTTCTCAGGGTATATGCCCAGTAGTGGGATTGCTGGGTCATATGGTAGTTCTGTTTTTAGTTTTTTAAGGAAACTCCATACTGTTCTCCAGAGTGAAGGCCCTCAAATCTTATTTGTTTTTTAAATTTAGGATGCCAGGACAATAGGTGTCCAGCACAGAGGTCCACCTCTCATAGCCTCTTCCCTGAGGGAGACAGGCCAGGGGTTCAAGGCCAGGTGAGGGTGCAGGGCTGCCCCGCAGCGCATACCAGGAGCCCAGGGGCAGCACGTGCCCCTCGCGGGGTCTGTTTTCCCCCTCACACTCCCTGCGGGTCTCCACCCCAAGCCTCTCCCGGGAGCGCTGCTGGACTCCATGCCATCTACTGCCTCTCAGGGATGAGCCCTGGCTTTCGGAGCCACCGACAGAGAATCCCTTTAAAGGGGACCTTGTTTCATGAACTGATGCAGGAGAAGGAGAGTGCCCAGAGCTTCCCTCACGTCCCTCACAGGCTAGAGGCCGATTCCCTGGTGGATCTGGTCCCCTTGGGTTCTCAGGTGACCTGACCTGGTGCAAAGGGGCTTCCCAAGCTCCTGGGCTGCTGCCACCAACAGTTTGGATGAAAAGTTCCTCCTCTGAGAAGGGAATCATCTTTAGATGATGTTCTGATCACAGCTCATTGCAGACCCTCTTAATATACCTCTTTTCAGCTGTCAATAAAACAAGAAGTCTCCTGGTGGTCAAGAGGGGCCTTGCAGCCAAAAAGAAGCCCCCCTCCCCAGGCCCAGCCTCTTGGACTCAGCTGGAGAGGAACCACCCGCCCCCAAACACACACACAGGAGCCTCTGGTCCAGCCCTGCTGGGCAGCTGGAAGCACGTCACTCGCATCTCTGCAGGTAACAACACCCCCACCCCCAGGAGCTGTGGGCCCTAGGAGCCAGGCGTCGACTCCAGGCGGCACATTCCTTTCCCAAGAGCCACAGAGCTCTCTGGCCAAAGACCACAGCCCAGTGCAGCCGACGGCCCGGGAGTAAAGCAAGATTCCAGCTAGCCCTGGCCAGAGCCAGGCTCCCTGCGGAGGGTGGGTGTGTGGGAGCCGGGCACACGCTCATCGGAACAACCAGCTGAGAAAAAAGTGCGTGCTGTAACAACACACCACCCACGTCCCACCCCAGGCACACGGGAACGAGGAGGTAAACTCTACACGGCTGGCCGGATTTATAAAACCCAAACTCCAATTTTACCATGAGGAACAGCACCAAGGCCGGTGTAAAAAATCTTAGCAGAATCCAATTCAACGTCACAATCCACACCCCGCCCCCTCCCCAGTACAAAGTGGTACTTAACCCAGTGGGAAAGTCTGCAGCAACAGCTCACAGGCGGATGCAAGCCCAGCGTCCACTGATGGACGGACGGATAAGCAAAATGTCTTCTATACAGACAATGGAGTGTTATTCAGTCGTACAGAGGAAGAAAATTCTGATACCTCCTATGATGTGGATGAACCTTGAGAACATTGTGCTAAGTGAAATAGGCCAGTCACAAAAGGACAAATACTGGGTAATTCTACTTATATAAAGGACTTAGTGCTGTCAAATGCAGAGAGACAGAAGGCAGGAGGGTGGGCGCCAGGGACTGGGGGGATGTGGGGGATGGAGAGTTAGGGTTTAATGGGGACAGAGTTTCCTCTGGAGATGGATGGGGGTGACGGGTGTACAACAATATCAATGTACTTAATGCCATGGAGCTGCACACTTAAAAATGGTTAAAATGGCCCATTTTATGTAACGTAGATTTACCACAATAAAAGAATCAAAAATTAAATAGAAAAATGACAGTCAAGTAGATGATAATTAAGAATACCATCCTTGGAGGTGGGGTGGCACCCCTAATAACCAAAGCCACCAGAGGGTGGAGTTTAGCAAGAGACACAGGAAGGGAAATGAATATTTTCCAGATTAAGTGTTCCTAGAAGGGCTTTTTCTTCAAAGTCTTCCCCCACTCCTGCTGGACACCATACAAGAATGCAAAAGGACGCCTCTCCAGGGGACTTTAAGGTAATTTGTGCCCCAGCAACTTTCTCAGCAGGAAGCCATGGTCCACCAATTAACACTCCCTGTTCTCCAAAGGACTCAAAGCGACTGTCACCTGCGCCCAGGGTGGGACGAAAGAAATCCATTCCCACCATTTCCACCAGGCTCTGCTCCCACAGAGATGATAATCACAGCTGCTCGGGCACAGCTGGGGCTTTACCATCAACCAAGGACACAGACGTCAAAGGATGACTTGTTAACTTTACATCGTGGGTGGATGAAGTATTTTGTCGAAAGTGAGGCCCAGTCGTACAGGCAGTACTGGCACCCAGTTCAGGGTAGGAAAGAGAAACACCTACGTTACAGACACGAAACTCTTCTGAAAATCTCCACACACAAGCATCTGCATCGCTGTTCTAACAGTATCAAGATTTCACCACGACGACATAAGCTGTCACACTGACCACTCGACTGAGAAAGAGACCATCGGGTTCGGTAGCTTTTGTGAAAGGAGTCTTTAGACACTGGCATGACCAGCCGGGCACGTCCTACTGGAATCCTGGCCACAGTTCCCTGTCACATGGCTGGATACGCCGGGTGTGCCCCGAGGCTGCAGTGACAGTGTCCTTCCTGGCACAGGTCACAAACACCTAACACAGAAAAGGAGTCAGTTCTGCTAGACTCATGTCTGGAAAACATGTATGCGTCCCCATGCAGTGACGTATCAGGGACAGTCTGAGCAGAGAGCAGGTTTCGCATTCACTTTGCACAACTGCACCCAGGAGAAACCCTAGGCAAGTGCAGAGCTCACAGCAGCACCGCACCGAGCAGAGGCCCACAAACACACATGCCTCCAGCGACCCCCAGCCCCCGGGCACTGGGAGCCACGCCATCCACGCCGGGGTTACAACGATACGTCCCATCTCAGACAACTCTCCTTCCGCGTTCCACAAAAACCCACAAGCTGCAACCTTCCGACCCCCATGTCCTCCGCCAGCTTCAGGTCTTTTCAACGTCAAGGGCCGTATCTGCTGGAGCATTTGTGTACCGAACCATTTACCATTCGAAGGACAGGGCCCCTGTATTGCCAGGTTCCTCTCTTTTTTTTCAGTTTGTCACTGATGGCCTTTTGAGGGCTGCACACCTAGCCCCCTTTCCCCCATCAGACCCGTGGTCTGTACTGGGCGATTCTGTACAGTGCAGTGATTTTCAGACACACGTACATTGCATTATAACAGAACTGACTATCCAACTCCCCTAAAATAAAAGATAAATCTAGAATAACCAACATCAACTATCCCTGCACAGAACCACTATGGAAAGGAAAAAAAACCCCATGGGGTTTGACGCCCACCACTGCTACTTAAACAGCTGCAAAATCCAGTTTCTACACAGAATCACAGTCTAAGGGTCTCACACGGCTCAGCCTTATACCTGGCAATGACATAATCGGAGCCCAATCACTGTTTACCCCAAACTGTGCCCTCTTGGCACCCCCTCTGCTAAGAAAAGGGGGCGGTAGCCTGGGAGCCGCCAGTGCGAGCCCCTCGTGGAAGGGCCCCCCGCGCCCCCCCGAAAGCACACCTACCTGGGTCCCATCGTCCTTGGCTCGTTTGATGTTCTGGCGCCCATCTACCCAGTAGATGAACTTGTCCAGCGGGTCATAGTCGATGGCCTTGACGTTCCTCAGCCCGTGCAGCGGCAGGATGAGGTCTGGGCTGTGCTGGTCATCGGGGATCATTCGGCTGATAGCACACTTCTGGCTGAAGAGCAGGAAGGTGGTGGGTGCTGGAGAGAGGCAAACGGGGGCGGGCGCGCGTCAGCGTCTGGGAGCCCAACAGGGAGTGGGGCAGGGAGGACGGCCTTCCATTTTCTGGTAAAAAGCAGATTTGCGTGTGCACCTACGAGATGTACGTGGAAAAAGGCTGGAAAGACACAAAACTGGTTCTTGGGGGTGGACTACGGGGAATTTTATTCTCCATGTTACACATCGCTGCTGTTTCCATATTTTATAAGTGTGTGTGTTATTTTAAAACTAGATATCCACTTCTTTTCAGATTATCAAGACTTAAGTCAGAAGGAGGGAAAGGTAGTGAACATCCAACTCCCACCCATAAGTGTGTGTGATGCTCTGGTGACGGTGGGATTCGCCAGGGGCTTCTATGTGCTCCAGGGAATGGCTGAAAACCGTGTGATGTGAACAGTGACACCGGGAGGGGACACTCCTCAGGGCTGTCGGGACCCAGGATGTGTAGAGGCCACCAGCTGCAGCCATGTCAGAGTTACAGCTGGGCCACATGAATCCAAGTCACAGCCCTGGGTCTGCCGGCCTTGGGAGCCAGCACCCGAGTCACATCCCCTCTGGGCAGAGGGTGACCTGCACCTCCGCTTGACCCTTCAAGGTTATGACCCCCAGTGGCAAGGACAACAGGACCAAAGGGAGCCCAAGAGTGGGGAATCCCAGGCTGTGGCCCCAGGCCCATCACATACCAGCCTGGGGCCTCGACCAAGCCCCTTAACCCTTCGAAGCTGTAGGTCCCTCATCCACATAATTGGGCCAAGGAAGCTCAGTCCTCTTAAGGCCCAGGGCTGCGAGAGGCTCACACAATGCCCGGATGACAGAGAGCTTTACAAACTGTCTAGCGCTGCACAGAGGCCGAGTTATAACTAGCTCTCTGCTGATGTCACAGGAGAAAAGCCTGTCAACAGGACACACCTGTTCTCCCTGCGGGCCCATGGGAAAGTCACTCTCAGGCTCTCTGAACCTCCCTTTTCTTAGAATTGAAAGTGAAAAGGCCTACCTCGTTTAGAAGGTCGGTGTGAGGATTACACCATGGACATGGGGCCACACGCAAGGGGTCAGGGCAGGGACTCTGGAGCCAGCCTGCCTGGATCCAAACCTGGTTCAAGTCTTACCAGCTGTGTGGCCTTGCGTGGGTAACTACACATCTCTGTGCCCAGGGTCCTAGTCTGTGAAATGGGGACAGTGATACTCCCTACCCCATAGGCTGGAGGATTAAGGGCCATAAAAAGCACTTGGAACAATGCCTGGCCCTAGAAGTGGGTGCTCTCCCCCAGGGACTGTTTTTCACATCCAAAGAGCCTCCCATGCGACGTGCCCGCTGAGGGCTTGGACCATCTACTCGTGTCTTGATGAAGCAACAGGTCTTCCACCCAGCCTGAGCCTCCAGGTAACATTAGGCAACATGTGCAGTGCACAACCTGCCCGACTGCCCATGTGCACCAAGGTTTCCCCAGATAAAAAGCTTCTTTCCACCTTAACCGCCAGAGTCAGACTGATGATCTAATGTGGGAGTGAGGGACAGGGGCAGAGCGAGGCACTTACGGCTGCAGTTGCGGCTACTGGGGTCCAGGGTGTAATGTGAGGCACAGCTGCAGCGGTGGCCGCTGGGGACAGCGAGGCACAGCTGCCCACACTGCCCATTGTTGTGCATGCAGTCATTGAGGCCATCCTGGCGGGAGGAGTGGAACACCAGGATGTCCATCACGAAATCCAGGTGGCCCTGGATGAGGGTGCGGTTCCGGCCACTGGTCTTGTCGGCTCGCTCAATGCTGTGCAGGTTCCAGTCTGTCCAGTAGATGTAATCACTGTACTGCGTCAGGCCGAAGGGGTGCGGGAGGTCATCGGCAATCACGACCCGTTCCTGACCTGCGTGGAGACACACGGGTACCGAGTCAGCAACGGCACCGCACGGGCGTCCTGTGGCTGAACCAGTTCAACCTGCAGCCTGGCCACTTGCGTCGGGCTCATAAAGCATGTGACCACTTTGGGAAACGAGCAGGGTCCACTGAGGCTGGATGTGCACCTGCCCTGAGCGCAGGCAATTCCCCTCTTGCAGCACAAGAGAAATGCGTGCAGCATCCACCCAAACAACACAGATGAGAATGTGCATGGCAGCAACTATGTGTAACAGCCACAAACAGGAAACAACCCAAATGTCCGTCAGTAGTAGGATGGATTAGGGACTTCCCTGGTGGTCCAGTGATTAAGACTCCGAGCACCCAATGCAGCGGGCCCAGGTTTGATCTCTGGTCAGGGAACTAGATCCCACATGCCGCAACTAAGAGCCCACATGCCACAACTAAAGATCCCGCATACCGCAACTAAGAGATCCCACGTGCCGCAACTAAGACTCAGCACAGCCAAAATAAAAAAAAAAAAAAACAAACATAGTAGGATGAATTAAAAAATGGTAGGATCTTTGGGACCTCCCTGGTGGCTCAGTGGTTAAGCATCCACCTGTCAATGCAGGGGACGCAGGTTCGATCCCTGGTCCGGGAAGATCCCACATGCCGCAGAGCAACTAAGCCCGTGCGCCACAACCACTGAGCCTGTGCTCTACAGCCTGCGAGCCACAACTACTGAGCCGGCGTGCCACAACTACTGAAGCCCGCACACCTAGAGCCCATGCTCTGCAACAAGAGAAGCCACCGCAAGGAGAAGCCCGCGTACCCCCGCTCGCCGCAACTACAGAAAGCCTACGCGCAGCAACGAAGAGCCAACACAGCCAAAAATAAATAAATAAATAAAATGTAACTTTATAAAATAAAATAAATAAAATGTAACTTTATAAAATAAAAAATTTTTTTAAAAAGGTAGGATCTTCATACAATGGAAATGATAAAAAAGAATAAAATGATAAAATGATAAAAAAGAATAACAACAACGTGGGCGACTTTCACTGAGTGACAGAATCCAGATGCTGAAGAGCACACTCTGTGCGGTCACAGTGATAGAAAGTTCTAGAACAGCACAGCTAGTACACACAGATAGAAGTCAGGGCAGCACTGACCCGAGGAGGCTGGTGAGATTGACTAAAAGCCTTTTGAGGGCTGGAAACTTCCCTACTTTGATCTGCGTGGGAGCTACACAGGCTATGTTGATGCCTCTGTGTATGCACAAGTATCTGTATGTAAAAATCCTCCAACTTGACTACTTTTTTTTTTTTTTTTTTTGCGGTACGCGGGCCTCACTGTTGTGGCCTCTCCCACTGCGGAGCACAGGCTCCAGACGCGCAGGCTCAGCGGCCATGGCTCACGGGCCCAGCCGCTCCGCGGCATGTGGGATCTTCCCGGACCGGGGCACGAACCCGCGTCCCCTGCATTGGCAGGCGGACTCTCAACCACTGCGCCACCAGGGAAGCCCCTTGACTACTTTTTTGTACTTGACTGTATATATATGTCAATAAAAATTTTAAATATTGATAAAATAAAACCTTCTGCCTAGCAGTCTACTACAGTGGTTGAAACCAGGTTCTGGAGTCAGCCTGGGCCCCCTCGCTTCTCCCTTGACCAGCATGTGACCTTGGGAAAGCTATGTAAACTTCTTGACTCTCAGTCTCCCCATCTGAAAAATGGGTATTTGGAAGGGGGGCACGCCATGTGGCTTGTGGGATCTTAGTTCCCCAACCAGGGATCGAACCCAGGGCCACGGCAGTGAAAGCGCCAAGTCCTAACCACTGGACCACCAGGTAAGTCCCAAAATGGTTATTCGTAAGAGTGCCCTCATGGGTATCCATGATAATTAAATGTAATAAATTATGATAAAAAAACAATGAGGTTCGTGATATAATTGTGGTAAATATTCAATGAGATCATGCATGTAGAATGGTCAAAATGCCGGCACAAATTAAGTGCTTGATAAAAACTACGTGCAGAAGAACATTCCCCCTCTCCCCCCAAAAGAGGTCATCCTAATCTCCAGGATTTCTGAATATAGTACCTTACACGGCAAACGGGGCTTTGCAGGTGTGACTAAATTAAGGATTTTGAAATGGGGACACGATCCTGGATTATCCCAGTGCACCCAGTGCAAACACTAGCGTCCTTGTAAGAGGGAGCAGGACAGTGAGAGAGAGGCTGGTGGAGGCTATACAGCTGGCTTTGAAGATGGAGGAAGGGCCACAAGTCAAGGATGCAGCCAGCCCCCAGATGATGGAAAAGGCAATGGATTCTCCTCTAGAGCCTCCAGATGGAAGGTAGCCCTGCCCACACCTTGCTTTCATTTGGGAATGCTGGTGCCATTCTCTCGCCAGCAGCAGAGGGCTTGTGAAACGAACCAGGGTCTGATCACGTGACCCGCTGAGCAGTTACACGCAGAGCACACACCTGTGTGCACCTGCTGGGACTACTGCCGCAACACGCAGGCTCAGGGCCGCATGAGGGAGGGAGAGCAGGTGCAGGGCCCGGTGACACTCGACAAGTTCTGTCCCTCCACCTGGGCATGGGTTTCTAAGTCTTCACTTGTCAAAGTGTGTGTGTTGTATGAATGCCTCACATATGCTCTATTTCACAGTAAAAACGGTACCAGTGAAAACATGTTGGCGACCTGGGGACATGCTCCTCCTGTACAGGAGTGGGAGAAAGCCAAATGAAAATCATATGTGGCACGATTTGAAATAATGTTTTCAAAATGATTTTTAAAAAGGAAAAAAGTGAAAAAAGTCTTCAGAGATGAACAGTTAAAAATATTTGCTTAAAAAAATCAATCAAAAAAATTTTGAGACTGGAAAGAGATATGCCAACAGATGAATATACATTATTACTGACTGGTGAAATAATGGATAATTAAAATTTTTCTTCCTGTTTTTCTGCATTTTTAGAAATTTTCTAAGTTGATTATTTTATCATTAGAAAGAAGATAGTTCTGAAATAAAGGTGCTCCCTGACTGCCTGTCACGCACACGCTGCCCGCCCCCACTCCACCCCGGGCCCTGGACTGGGACTCGCAGTGGACTTTTCCAACAACAACGATCATTAACTAAACACTCAGAGGGCAGTGACTGTGCTCCAGACTTGATGAGAAGTGCCTTCAGTTAATTCTCACAGTAGCAGCTGTAGGAGGAAGGGACCACCGGCATTAGAGAACCGAGGCACAGAAAGGTTAAGTCACCTGGCTCAAGTCACACAGCAAGTGGCAAGGCCAAGAATGCAACCAGGATGGCGGGGCCCCAGGTTCACGCTCCATGCCCACTCGCGCCATGCCAGGCAACATTCCCACCTTTCCCTTGCCCGGGGCCTCCCCTGTTATTAACCAAGTGCTCCCTACACGTCTACGCCATTCAGTGGGAATACGGCTGAAAACGGCCTGACTGGACGCACACGACCACCCTCAATCTGCAGAGTTGAGGGGGTTTCCAGGGTTTTTGCTGCTTTTCCTCCCAGTGTGTCTTTACTCTGGGGTAATCAGGGAGCTTGATTATTTCGGGCAACCACAGCTGTGCTGTGACTGGTTTCCCACCTGGCACCAGCCTCTTGTAATTCCCTGTGGGGCTGGGGGTGGCAGTCTCAAAGACACATTCAAGCCTTGCTCTTGGCCTCATACACCAGGACAGTCAGCATGCAGGGGTGGGTGCAGCCCGCCGCAAGCAGAAACCAGGCCACTGAGCTTCTAGTCCTGGCTCTGCTCACACAGTACCTGGGGACAAGCCGTTCGGCCCACCTATGCCTCAGTTTCCTCATCTGTAAAATGGGCACAACCACACCCACCACACGTGGCGGCAGCAGCAGTGATTAGGAAGGAAGCCAAATTCTCTCGGTCGCACAGGGCAGCCCCGTCATGTGGTATCACCCAGGAGAGCTAATATAACCACCCCCTGCAAGAAGTCCAGAGTCATGTGATTTCCAGGCTCAAGACCTGCCCTCAACTGCTGGGTGGCTTTGTTTTTGTTTTTAATCTAATCCCAGGTGTTGAGTGGTCCCAGAACAATGCCTAGCGCCCAGTAGGTATTCAGGGTCAGATGGAGCTGTAGCACGTGGCCGTGGGGTCTGAGTGGCACTCTGTGACCTTACACAAGTCCCACGACCTCCGTGGGCCTCAGTTTCGCCATCACCGAAAACCTACGCTATGTGGTGTAGGGTCAGATTAGAATCCTGGCACAGGGTTGGCCGGGACCCGGCTCTCAGCTGGTGTGTAGGGAACAGCTGTCACTGGGGTCTCTATTGACACATCTGCAGCGACAGCACCAGGGGCAGAAAGGGACAACCCTCAGGAGGGGGCGAGGCTGGGTCAGCACCCGGGGCGTGGCCGCACCTCCTGTGGGGCTTGGGCCTGGCGGGCCCAGGGGCACAGCGCCATGGGGGCTGAGCCAACGCCCAGGGCAGGGACGCCCCCTGGCGGCAGGACGCACCGGCCCTCACCCAGCATGTTGGATGACTCAATCATGTTGGTGTCCAGGTCCGTCCAGTAGAGACGCTGGTCGGCGTAGTCGATGGTGAGGTCGTTGGCCCGGCCCACCTTGTCCACCAGCGTCACGCAGTTGGTCCCGTCCATGAAGGCCCGCACGATCCTGGGCTTGCCGCCCCACTCGGTCCAGTAGATGTAGCTGGAAGACATGGGAGCAGGGCGGGGCAGGCTCAGGCACGGCCACCCTCACGGCAGGGCAGGGGGCACACCTGCCGCCATCTCCGCGGCTGTGCCGATGGCATCCCTGCAGGAAGCAGGGAAGAGGTGAGACCCTCGGAGGCCCCTCCACCCCACCATCCCTCTGGGAGCAGTCACGGAGCTACATGCTGCCTCCTGGGGTCCCACAGCAGCCCCCCTGCAAGCTAAGCCCTGATATTCCCATTCGGGTGCACAGACAGGGTGACCGTGCAACACGACATCCAGGCTGGGACACCTGTGTCAGGGACAAACGCTAACTAAGCTGGACAGGATGCCAGGGTGACCGGGACGGGCAGGAAGCACGTGGGCAAATCGGGGCGTACAGTCTCCTCTCCTTAAAGAAGGTAGAAAACAAGACGCTGAGGCCAACAGGCATCGTAGGGTCAGGACTCGAACTCAGCTCTGCCGTCTCCACCAACGGGTCCTCCCTCCTCTCTCTTCAGCAGTGGCTCCGGGGAAGGAATCCCCATTCCAGAATTGTGTACGTTTTACTGGTTCTTTCGCTAAAACCTGGACCTTTCTTTTTGTTCTGCCGAAATCTTCCCTTCCCTGAAAGAGCACGTGGCAGGCAGGGTTCGGAGCGCTCCCTACACACCACTGATGCTTTATGGGTTGAGCACTGAGCGCAGAGGAAGACTCCACCCTGGCCTCTCTGGCCCCAGGGCAGGGCCCCCAGGCTGCCTGACACATAAAAGCATGTGCCTTGCAAGCTTGCAAGGTGGGTTTTAAACCGCCGCTAAGTGGCCAGCAAGAAGCAGGAGGGGAGAAGCCCAGGACAGGAGCCTAGAAAGGACTGCATGGGACTTCCTGGCCCAGCCGTGCTCTAACCAGTTATGTGACCTTCAGTAAATCACTGAGCTTCTCTGAGCCTCAGTTTCTGCATCTGTAAAATCACCCACCCCTTGCAGGGCCCCTGGACGCCCAGATGAGATGACCCCTCTGGGAGTGCCCAATGCGGTGCCTGATACAGAGGCTTCCCTTCCTGCCTGCTGCTCTGGGCCCCAGTGTCCCCTCTATGAAATGAACCAGATGACCTCCAAGGGTCCCGCCGGCCCCGGCCACCTCAAAGCTAGTAGCGGTCGTTACTGCTCCAACCGCAGAGCGCCAGGTGGGCAGCCGTCTGCCGCGGCCTCAGGTCATCAACGCACTGGCTGGTGTAGAGAGGTGACGGGGACACGCCTGCTGGACAAAAATGGTCCTTACCCTTTGGTGGGGTCCAGGGCCAGCGACCTCGGGTTGTCCAGATCCCTCCACACAAGGACCTGCCGGAACTGCCCGTCCAGCCGGGCCACTTCGATCCTATTGGTCCCAGTGTCCGCCCAGTAGAGGTTCTTGCCCATCCAGTCGACGGCCATGCCTTCCGGGTAGTCGAGGCCAAACTCGATCACGTGCTCCACGGAGCTCCCGTTCATGAAGGCCCGGCTGATGGTCTGGGAGCAGGTGAGGAGGAAAGGGACACGGTTAGAAACCAGAGTTTCTGCAGATGTCTCCTGGAGCAACTACTGATCACACCTGGGACCAAATCACCAACATTCAAGGTTTTATTCTTTTTATTTCTTTTATATTTTATAAGTTTTTCCCAACATTTGAGTTTTTGAAGGAACATTTGAAAAGCAGCAAAATACAACCTTTTTAGAAGAAACAATTTGGTAATATATACAAATTATATACTTCATATAAAAATATGTAAAAATATTTTATATAATAGTATATAATTATAAAAATATATCATTATATATAGGCTATATTATATATATATATACATATGTATCATGACCCTTCAAAATAGTTGTAACCTTAAAAAAAAAATCACTGTATCCTTTCACCCAGTAATCTTCCTCCTGAAACTTTATCCATAGGAATGAAAACACAGAAGAGGCTTTACCCACAGAGATGCCTGTTCCTGTGGTATCATTTGGAGGTGGAAAAAACTGGAAGAACATTTAAAATAAGGGAACGGGGCTTCCCTGGTGGCACAGCGGTTGAGAGTCCGCCTGCCGATGCAGGGGACGCGGGTTTGTGCCCCGGTCCGGGAAGATCCCACGTGCCGCGGAGCGGCTGGGCCCGTGAGCCATGACCGCTGAGCCTGCGCGTCCGGAGCCTGTGCTCCGCAGCGGGAGAGGCCACAGCAGTGAGAGGCCTGCGTACCGCAAAATAAGAAAAATAAATAAAATAAGGGAACGGTTAAGTATGATAAGGAATATATGATAAGGAATATTTTACACGTTTAAAGAATTATGTTAAAGAGTTTGTAACAGGCTGATAAAATACCTGTTATAATGAGATGTGGAAAAAACCAGGATACAGGATTCTACGTAGCATATGATTGTGATTATGAGAAATACTAACATAGGGAAAAACTCAAAGGAAATACAGTAAAATGACATCAGTGGCTGACTTGGGATGGTGGGGATGTAGGTGTTTTTATTTTCTTCTTTGTACTTTTCTGTATAATATACTTTTCTCTCTTTCTACAATGAACCCTGTGACTCTTAAAATCAGAAAAATCTTTAAGAGCCATGTAATACCAACAGTAGAATAAAAGATAGGCGATTAAACTGTTTGGGTTGTCCGGTGCTTTAGAACAGGGGTCAGCAGACCTTCTCTGTAAATATTTCAGGTGTCACAGGACATGTGGATCCGTCACAACCTAGTGGCACAAAAGCAGGTGCAGACGATCCATGAGCAAGTGGGCACCAGTGTGACCCAATAAAACTTTATTGACAAAACACAGAGGCCAGTCCACGGACCAGTATGCCAAACCCTGCTTTAGAAGATGAAAGAGGCTTTCCTGTATTCATCCAGGATGTTTATGTTAGCACCCAGAACAAAGAAAGAGCTTGCTAAGTAAGTGGGCACTCGTGAGGGAGTGGGTGGGGTGAATCGAAAAATACACGGACACACAATCACTCTAGAAATGGCCACCTGTGTGTCCACTGGACCTGCTCATTGTAATCATTCATGCTTATTTATTAACACAGGTTCACTAATGTTCTAATGGTGTGAATCGAGTTACGAGAAATATTATAGTTCTTTTATTTTTTTTAATTTTTTAAATTTATTTATTTTTTTGGCAGCACTGTGTAGCTTGCAGGATCTTAGTTCCCCGACCAAGGATCGAAACTGTGCCCCCTGCAGTGGAAGTGCGCAGTCCTAACCAGTCCTAACCACTGGACCACCAGTCCAGTGGTTATAGGGAATTCCCTATAGTTCTTTAAAAAAAAACCAAAACTTTTTCTACAAGGGAATACTACTCAGCCATAAAAAAGAATGAAATGTTGCCACCTGCAACAACATGGATGGACTGGGAGGATATTATGCTAAGTGCAATAATTCAGACAGAGAAAAACAAATACTGTACGATATCACTTATATGTGCAACCCTAAAAAATACAACAAACTAGTGAATATAACAAAAAAGAAGCAGATTCACGGATACAGTGGTTACCAGTGGGGAGAGGGAAAGGGGAGGGGCAACGTCACGGTAGGAGAGTAAGAGGTACAAACTATTAGGTATAAAATAAGCTACAAGGATATATTGTACAACACGGGGAATGTAGCCAGTATTTTATAATAACTATAAATGGAGTATAACCTTTAAAAATTGTGACTCACTCTACTGTGCACCTGTAACTTATATTGTACAGCAAGTAAACTTCAATTTTAACAAACCATTAAAAAAACAAGGGACTTCCCTGGTGGCGCAGTGGATGGGACTCCATGTTCCCAACACTGGGGGCCCGGGTTCAATCCCTGGTTGGAGAACTAGATCCCACATGCATGCCGCAACTAGGAGTTCGTATGCCACAACTAAGGAGCCCGCATGCCGCAACTAGGAGTTCATATGCCACAACTAAGGAGCCCACGTGCCGCAACTAAGGAGCCCATGTGCCACAACTGGGGAGCCCGTGAGCTGCAGCTGAGGCGCCGCCTACCGCAACTAAGACCCCACACAACCAAATAAATAAATTTTTTTTTTTAAAAAAAGGAAGAAAACCTTTTTTCAGCCTCTGAGGCGATACCATCACCAGGTAGGTATTCACGGGAAAGGTGCACAGGGAGGACGCCCAGCTGCCGTACCTTTAGGCTGACGTCAGTCCAGTAGATGTGATGGTTGGACACGTCAAAATCCAGGGCAGAGGCCTCCTTGACGCCCGTGAGCGGGATGGCCACGTCGTTGTTATTGGTGTCCAGGGAGATCCTGTGGATGGCGGCCCGGCTGGTGAACACGAGGAAGGCCTCGGGGACGATGCAGGTCTTCATGTCACTCAGAAGCTCCAGGCCGATGGGGCAGCCGCACTTGGCGGCGCGGGGCGTGAAGAAGCACAGGTGGCTGCAGCCCCCATTCCTGTCTGCACACGGGTTGGTCCCTGGACGGAAAGACGCAGGCTCTAGACGCCAGAGGCCCAGCAAAGAGGGGGTAGGCAGTGGCTCCACGGTTGTACGAGGCTTCATTTCTGCCAGACGTCACACAGGGACAGCAGGTGGGTGGATGGAAACCCAGGGCCTCCCCAGGCACGGGGAAGGCACGTAACAACGGCTGGCTCTGGGCCCAGGGCATCTCCGCACTTGGACTCCTCCATCCTCATGGCGACCTGGGGACAATCGCACCCCCTGCCGCCCCCACCCCGCCGGGCCTGGACTCCCGGCCTGCTGACCGGGCCGCAGCCCGAGACGCCACCCAGACAGTTCCTCCTCCCGTTTCCGGCACTCTCGGTGCCCTCGAACTCAGATGCACCCAGGACGGCCAAAGGCGCCTCTTTCTCATTGTAGCAGACTGTACTTAGCATTCGTGTATTTTTGGCCAGGCCGTTAGTCTCACTCATCTGCTGCAGTGCTGTTAAAATTGGCTTTAATTTAGTGTTAAGTATTTCAGCTAGAAAAAGAATCCTCTCCCCCATCTTTCCCAGTAAATCCCTACATGAGAGAGAGGGAAAGAGGGAGGGAGGGGTCCAATTTCTCAACTTTAAATCACACCCAATGGATATATCATGTTTCTTATCTCTAGGGTTTTCTTTTTTATTTTTCAGACACTCACTAACCGGGGGACCTCACGTTCCACAGTGGATGAGGAACGTGTTTTCAAAGGCGCTGGTAAACTAAGTGTGTTGATTCCATCGCCTTGTCTCAGGAGTGCAGGTTGTGACTAAAGGCCTCTCCCAGAGACCAAGATGCACTAGATCCCCCCAGGGTCTCCGCCCACGGCCTCACCTCCAGGCCTTTGCTCAGCTGTCCCTTCTGCCGGGCAAACCCTGACCCCTACCTGCTCCCTAACTTCCAAGCTCAAGTGCCCTCCCTCATATTCTAACACCTCAACTGTAGTCACCAGCCTGGCAGCAGAGCTAACTAAGGGGTGTCTCACCCACTAGACTTATGGGCAAGCACTGGGGCCTCTCTGGTCCTTCCTCCCTCCCTCCCACCAGCAAAGGGTTGCTGAGTGTCTCTGATGTGTAGGTGCAGTGTTAGGTGCAGGGCCCCAGCTGGGGACAGGGTCCCTGCCGCCACAGAGCCCACAGTCCCGCCCCCCCATCTGTCCTCCCACCACAGCTGGACACCACTGTCCCCAGTGTAGCCTGTCGACCTGCACTGGGAATCATATTTATAAAGAGGCAAATCCTTGTGTTAAGGGGGCTTTCTGCAGATCCTGGCTTTCAGATAAAAGGTGTGTGCTTGAGGGTCCAGCCTGTCACACTGGACAACAATCACAGCTCAGCCCAGCCACAAGGTCAAGGCAGACCCGGGCATGAGTCCTGAGCTCGGCCACCCATTAGCTACACGGCTTTGCCACCCTCTCCCCAGCGCAAATAGGGCCACGTCGTAATTCACGTAGAGGGCTGCCCTGGGCACTAAGGCGCTTAGCCACAGCCTCGCACACAGCAGGCGCTCCGCAAGTGTTAGCCATCGTGAGAACAATTATTGCCAGCAGTGCCCAGTCACCATGCCTGGTCGATACCCCACCCCCATGCCACTGGTCCTGGACCAATATTCTCACCATCTCCTGTGCTGTCCAGCCCCAGAGTGGTGCCCCAGCCGGTCACTTACACCCCCAGCTTTGGCCTCCAACTGGGCTGCCTGTGCACCAAAAGGGCAGCCACGAGCCTGTGGCATGGCTGACCCACGGCTGGAGGCTGACCCGACTCACCGACGGCCTTGGCCACATTCACAGCCTTGAGCCCCATCAGGTCGGGCAGCTGGTCGATGATGACGTCCCGGCTCGCCTTGACCTTGTGCACGCGCTCGATGCTGCGCCGCTGCCAGTCGGTCCAGTAGATGAAGTCCCCCAGCAGCGTGAACCCGAAAATGTGTGGGAGCTTGTCCTCCAGGAGCGTCCGCCTCTTTGTCCCGTCGATGTTGATCACCTGCAGGATGGCAGACGTAGGGCTGAACCAGCCACGGGCCTGAACTGCCTGGAACAGGATGGGCCCCAGCAGCGTCTGCGCCTGCCGAGGCCACCTAACAAAGCCACGGCTCACTGGGGCAGCTGGATGAGTGATGTTTTCAGTGATGGGGCCATTCAGGGGCTCTTCCCCACTGCCTCCCCTACCTGGGGATGGATGCTGGGCTGAGAGGGGCAGGCAAGACAAACAGGTGTCCTCTCTCTCACCATTGCTGATCGACTAGCAGTAGCTGCCTGGAATACCAAGGTGTGGGTCTCCGACCCGGGATGGGCTCATTGACTAGTAATGTCTGCCAAGATGTAGGACGGGGAGGCACCAGTTCACACCCTTGATGCGGAGCTCAGTTCCAAAAGGCTGGACAGCCAACGTACTGCAAGCCCTGGGCAAAGCCTCCCACTTGTCTGTGGACTAATTTCTTGCTCGGTCAGCACCAGGTGAACTCTGAGGACGCTTCTGGGTCTAAGTCTGAGCCTACAGCTCTAAGATGCTTCCCAACACCAGACACACTAGTGGCTGTTTACTCTGAGATGTAAAAGTTAAATCTTTTTCTTGAAGAGTCAGCACTGATTAAAAGCATCAACCACAAAAGCCACAGAGGAGAAAACTACTATCAAACATAAAAACGCCTTAACCAACTGAAACACACAATCAGGATAAGATGTGGTTGTGATGACAGAGGACCCTGTAGGAGCTGATGTGAAAAACAAGATAAAAATGTAACATCCAAACTCTCCTGGCTCTCAAGCCAGGATGAAAGAGACATGGTGAATTAAAGGCAAGTCTCAACAGGTCTCCTGCAGCCGGATTATATTTCCAGCTCATCAGAAAGGCTACAAACCTTCAGGTTTGCAGGTGGCAGACACATAAGACAGATCGGGTGTGTGCTGAGCAGAAAAGACTTTGGTCCTCTGTTGTTGGACAGCACAGGACAAAACTGCTGGCCCAACCAGGAGTGGCAGGCAGCTCTGGGTCCTACAGCCAGGGGTCCCACCCCAGCTCTGCCCCACAGCCAAGTCCCTCTGCATCCCACATGGACCTCAACCTCTCCACCTGTAACTGAGGGTCGCAGCTAAAGTCACCCTGGAGGGACTTCCCTGGTGGTCCAGCGGTTAAGACTCCACGTTCCCAACGCAGGGGGCCTGGGTTTGATCCCTGGTCAGGGAACTAGATCCCACATGCCTCAACTAAGAGCCCGCGAGCCACAACTAAAGATCCCGCATGCCACCATGAAGATTCCGCGTGTTGCAACTAAGACCCGGTGCAGTCAAATAAATAAATGAATATTAAAACATAAATAAAGTCACCCTGGGAACTTAACCAAAGAACAGTGGCTGGGCCCCAACCTGGGGCAATTACACCAAACTGGAAGGCCAGGTACGAGTCCTGAAAGCAGCTCCCCACAGGTGGCTCCAATGAGCAGCCCAGATGAGAACACCGGATGGGACCACGTCCTGTACCACGAGCTGGAGTGTAGACCTTGGGCTGTAGGATCTCCGTGCGGAGCTCTGGGCACCAGGCCTGGCCCACTGGTCAGCCATACAGGGCAGGTGATAGATTACCAGCAGGTGCTGGTTCCGGCTTCGGCCCCACAAGAGGAAGGCGACATAAAGGCGATGAACACACGCTTCGCACAGAACTCAGACGTGGGGAGGGGTCTCGCCTGGGATTCCCGCCGAGGAGGCGCACAGCAAGAAAAAGAGTGTCTCTAACAACACACAGCCCGTGAGAGGCAGGGCTCAACCCCCTGCCCCTTCCTTGACACAGAATAACCAGGGCTGGGCGCTGGGGGCGGGGGCGGGCAGAATGGTAGAGGTAGGACATGATCGCTATGAAGAGAGCGTCCACATCTGGAAAATAAAGACGCCACCTTTTATAAACCAAAATGCCAACAGCATCTCTTGAAGAGATTTTTCTCATCCTTCTCTATATCCATATTTTCTTTATTTCCTTTAACAACTCAATTCCAGACATAAATAAGTGCATGTTCTATTGACTGAGGGGAGGAAGTACATGTTGCCCAGCTTAGGAAGGATGAAAGTGAGCCCGCAGAGGACAAGGGGCCAGATGGGGGGGGGCGGGGAGACAGCCGCTGGCCAGCAGCAATCCCTCCCCCAACCTCTGTCCCCACACACACCCTCGCCCCACCCTCTGGTTGCCCAGAACGAAGTGAGGAGGGTGTGAGCTGCTCCCCCCCGGGCTGGGCTGGCGGCACCCACCGCAAGGACAGAACCTTGGCTCTGGGCTGGCAGGGCCTCCCTCTGCCTCGGAAGCCCCTCCCTCACCCCATCCCACTTTGAACGATTACAGACCCCATGAAACACCTCTCAGGCCCTCCAACTTGGGAGGACAACAAGACTCTAACGCTTGAGAAAATAAATGGTCCCGAAGCGGCCTCTTTACGCCAGCTTTCAACACACCTTGACCAAATCCAACACATCTGTAGAAGTAACCTTGCTGGACCAGGCCTTTCCCAAATCCTGGAGCAGACAAGTAGGACCTGCGTACAGGGAGCACACGTGTCAACCCCCCCGTCCCCAGGCTCCCTCTGGGGCCAACTCGGGGGCCTCCCCCTTTCCTGGGCCCTGAGCGGAGCCCAGAAAGAACAGAATCGAATCTGGGCCGCCTGATAACACGGGAGCCGGGAGAGAGCCCAGGAGGCGGATTGCCGGGGACAGGGGCTGGCAAGCTGCTTCTGAAAAGGATCGTAAATACCTTCAGCTTTGAGGCCATAAGGTCCCTGTCGCGATAAAGCAGCCACCGAGGGTGCCTAAAACAAGCGCGAGTGTGTTCCAATAAAACTTTATTTGTGCAAACAACAAAAATTAAAAACAAAAAACCTGGAAGTTCATATAATTTTCACACGTCACGAGACACCATTCTTCTGATTGTTTTCAATCACTTAAAAATGTAGGGAATTCCCTGGCAATCCAGTGGTCAGGACTCTGCGCTTTCGCTGCCGAGGGCCTGGGTTCAATCCCTGGTCAGAGAACTCAGATCCCACATGCTGTGCAGTGCCGGAAAAAAAAAAAAAAGTGTAAAAACCACCGTGCGTTTGAAAGTGGCACAAACATAGTCATTCTGGCCTCCGGTCCACGGGTTTCAACCCCTGCTCAAGAAGTTCCCCTGCCCTTGATTTTCAGGAGAGGAAACTAGATACCTCCAGGAAGTTATGTCAAAATGGTCAAGCCAGGTGCCGAAGGCGCCCGAGTGCCAGCCAGCCTTGCTGTCCGACCTTTTGGCCTCCTGTGCCCTCCTGTGCTCGGCTGACTCCACACACCAAGCCCAGGTCTGGAGTGGGGTAGAGGCAGGGCAAGCAGAGCACACATCCATCCCCTGGCCAGCTCATCACACGACCCGCAGATCAACAGCGGCGCGATGCGCAGAAGGGTGGGCAGACCCCAGAGAAGCCCGCCCTCAGCTGTACTCCAAGAGGCAGAACCCACAGCTGCGGGGTCTGCACGGCCACCCACAAAACAGTAGACCCCAAAAAGTCACCTGAGGTGCAACTGCCTTACACTGAATCCTCTGTTTCTAATGACTTGGCCGTGCAAAGAGGTGAGAGCCCAAGACCAACCCTTTGAAAGCACACGTTTAAAGAAAAAAAGAGTTCTGCTCTCTGATGGAACAATTATACTCAGACACAAAGCCCCAAATTAAAACTGCTCTGGTTATTGTTTCACATAACAAAAGAGATCTTACACACCCGCACAGCTTGTGGCCCCGCTGCCCGGAAGCCCTGCACCCTTCTCCCCCAGGGCTCATGGACCCGGACACATAGCCAATCCGTCACTCTTGCGATGAGTGTTTATTCTGTTCGTGCTGGAAGTCACCTCCATCGACTCAGGAAATGTCAGGAACAGGGGGACGGATGTATTTTTAACTTCTCAGGCTGTGATTCATCCTTGGCCCGCCTGCTCCACCGGGTGTGTCACTCCCCACCGGGTACTCCCCATGAATGTCTACCCTGACAGTAGACGGCCACCAGCAGATGGCGGCTGCGAGGGACACAACCTCCCCGTGGTCCTGGCCGAGGAAGACATCGGGGGGGGGGGGGCTGCAGAGAGCCCAAGTGACCCCCGGGGCCTCCAATGAGTACAAGGCAAGCCACACACAGGTGACACTTCCTGCCCCAGAGACGGGCCAAACAGCCTGGACCATGGGTCGGCCTGCAAAACTTCTTCCTCCATCCTCGGGGCGGGGAAACAGCTGGGGAGGAAGCTTTAGAAAGACAGCTCCAGTCCGCAAAGGGCAAGGCCCGAGCCTGCTCTTACCCAGGAATGGCTAAAACCGCCATCCAGGGACCTGCCTGATCACTGTGTGAGCACAAGGGTGTTTAAACGCTTTGCCTATTTCGGGATTAATAACGGGCACCGTTCCTCCCGCTACTCTAGAAACAGAAGGAAATAGACAGGATATACACAAGTCAGTGAGAGGAGAAGGCAGGGCTTCAGAACCAACGCGGCTGGAGAAGCAGCTAGGGTGCTGTCAGGGGAGCTTGAACGACCCGCACCCCTGCCCCCTGGGCCCCCATCCTCTCTGCTCGGCGTCCCTCTAGAACACTGACCACCTGACGGGCTGCGGTTGTCCCGGTCACTGCTGTCTATATCTCCCCTTCTAGAACACTGACCCCACCAGGGCATGGGTCTGTCCCGTGCTGCTTTTCCAGCACGAGGTGACATTCAGTGAGTGCTGCAGGATGAACAGATGCTTGCCCAGGGGCGGGGAGCGGGGTTGAGGGAAAGAGGCAGCGCGAGCTACGACAGGACAGGAGTTCCACTCAGGGACGATCCGACAGGCAGCTGTGGGGAAGGAGGATGCAAGGACGGGCCGGTGAGGGGAAGTGGGGGACAGAGAGAGTGGGGGAAGGACTAAGAGGGAGAGGTCGCTTCTGATGCAGACCCGGTGTGTCCTGACTCCCTGCCAGGGGATCAGCACAGAGACCCCAGTTCAAGCCCAGAGAGCTCCCACCTGCTTTGGGAGACATGGCCGCTCACAAACAAGTGAAAAGATGATGACGATGATGACTCCATAGCTAAGTGAGAGCACAAGCCCTGCATAGATGTGGAAGGCCTTACAGCCTCTGGCTGGGAGAGGCAGCCTCCAGGCCGGAACCAGGATGTTGCTGTTTTGGAAAGGAAGACCCTACACCGTGTGGCCAAGTGCGTGGATGAGGTGAGCTGCTCCCATACGTGAGACCGTGGCGTGTGGCGGGAGGCGACTCAGGCTTCCGAGGGAGAGGGCCGGGGGCAGCTGGGCACGTGGGCTCAGGAAAGAGCTCCGGATGGAAGAATCTGCTTGGGAGAGGACCCACGCTGGGCTGTCACGGGCCCGGCACCTGCCAAGAAGCTGGTCAGAGGGAGAAGAGGGAAGTGCAGGGCCCGAGGGGCCATCAGTTAGAGACAGAAGAGGGAGACAGTGAGTCCGAGTTACTTTTACCAATAAAGTTGAACCTTGTGACACAAGGCCGAAGAGCTGTGGCAGGGTGGAGGAGGAGAGGACACGCTCTTGGGTTGGGAGCCTAGCTGGGCAGGGAGGGGGAGGGGTAAACATGCAAGCAAAGGGCGAGAGGCTGGGTCCTGAGGATGCGGCTGGAGCCACGGGAAAGTCTAAGCACCTGTGGGCAGGAACCTCTAACCCCAAGGGCTCTAGACTCAGGAAGGGGGTTAAGGAGGTGTCCCAGGGAACCCCCAGCCCAAGAGGGTAGGAAAGCAGGGAGCAGAGAGGCAGCTCTGTGGATGCAGAAAGAGGCGGGGGCTACACCCATGTCCACCCCACACGGCTCCAACCTGTGCATGTCGGGATTGCCCTGGCGGTCCATCCCTGGTCCCTGAGGACGGGGAGGGGACCTCAGGGCTGCCTCCCAGAGTGAGCCGGCCCCGGGCCCACCCCCACCCCCAGACGGGGAGCCACCCCGAGCTAATCCCCCGAGGGGCTGCCGACCGGAGGCTGGCCTGAAACCGCCGTCCAGGACGCCGTCACAGGCAAGGCGGCAGGAGGCCCACCTGGAGGGCGGCGTGGCCCTGCCCGCAGCCTGGACTCGGTTGCACAAATCCATCTATGTGCCAGGACCGCCGTCCAGAGGAATCCCCACTTCGTGGACTCGGCCCTCTAGACCTTTGTTCTCCTCCCAGCTTGTCGGGGTATCAGCCACAGCTGCCCTGGGAAGTCATTTTCGGGACGGGCGGGCGAAGCGGGAACCTGACTGATGCATCTTCAAAGGGTGGACACCACGTGGAGCTCCTTCCTGCCGGCGCCCGCGCTCGGAGCCAGGCCACGCGCCCAACCACGCGGAACAGAATCCCTTCTCCCGTCCAAAGCAACCCGGCAAGATATGCCCAAGAAACACGCTCAGGCTCCTTAGCATCTGTCTCAGGCATAATATCTTAGAGACGTGACCACTGCTGGAAGCGTGTCCCGTCGCTGTGCTGACCTGGAAGAGCCCTCCCCTGACCGTCCCCCGGCCTGGAGTCCGACTGAGTCCTCAGGAAAGGAGACATGGCCCCTTGCCCTCGGCTATTCCCCCGAAGCCCATAGAATCCACCGTGACCCCAGCAGGGGCTTCTGCACCTGGGCTGGTGGCCTGATCCCAAGGTTCATGTAACATGTACCAGAGGAGCATCTGTTGGGCGTATTTACCAAGGTGACCCAGCACCTGGAGCAGAGCTGATGCCCACTGGGTGTTCAGCAGCAAACCCTGAGGCCCGAGAGTAGGGGGAGGGTGTCCACAGCAGGAACACATGGGCAAGTCCCCAGGCATGCTCGGGCCACCTCCAAGAAGCTCACCCTGGGGCATTTCACCACTGAAAAGAATGCCAGAAGGGTCTGCCCTGGGCTCCAGGCTTGACTCCAAGAAGCTGCCATGACCTAATGCACCTGCGATTCATCAGGGCGCTTCCCACCCTTGGAGTTCACACAGAGAACCACCTCTATGTCCGTCCATGTCAGTGGCTTCCCTGCGGCAGGGGCGGAGGGAGAGTCCAGCACTAACCCCGAAGCCGGGGTCAGCTCTGGACGTGTGGGCAGGAGGCCTAGGTCAGCGTTCCCAAAGTGTGTGCCACTGGAGCCGCAGCACGGAAAGAAAGGGGGCCGTAGATTGTGTAGTTTGAGAACACTTACGCAGTTTAGTCCCCCGTGGGAGGTCTGCTTATCAAAGTGTATTAGAGGCTCCAAAGAGAGAAGTGAGGCAGGAAAGCCTCCGCACGTTTCCCAAGTTTGTTGGATTAAAGAATCCCAAACACTTCCAATTCTTCTGTCTCTCTTTTGGGGCCTCCTGGTGATTGGCTCCAAATCAACAGGTGATACGCCTGTGGCGCATGTTCCCGGTTCGTCCGTACCAGCCACCGCGTACTCTGCCGGCAACAACTTTTGTCACTTATGCCACGCCCCTCCCCCATCCTCCTGTTACCATGATGTCAGCGTTTTAGGGCCTCTGTTGGTTACCCCTGAAGCTCTTCCCCACCTGTCCGCTCCTAACTTTGGTCCATCCCACTGTTCCATAACCACGGCAGATAACGTTTATATTGCGTACAGTAGCCTGACGCTTCAGGCTCTGTCTGTGGATTGACTCTGAAAGCAGAAAATCAAAAAGCACCTACTTGCTGCATGACCCTGAGCAGGTTACTGTCCCCTGGGCCTCAGTGCCTCATCCACACGTGGGGACGATGCCACATACCTCAAAACACTATTGTGGGACAGGCACATGGAAAGATGCTCAACATCACTCGTCCTCAGGAAAATGCAAATCAAAACCACCAGACACCACAGCACACCCGTGGGGATGGCCATGATAAGAGGAGAATTTTACAAGTGTCAGTGAGGATATGTTGACATCAGAGCACTCGCACACTGCTAGTGAGAATGTAGAATGGTGCAGACTGTGGAAGACAGCCTGACGGTTCCTCGGTAAGTTAAAGATAAACCTAGCATATGCCCCAGCAATTCCACTCCTAGGTACGTGCCCCAAAGAATTAGAAACAGATGCTCAAATAAAAACTTGCAGACAAATGCTCATAACAGTATTATGCACGATCCCCCAAAGGTGGAAACAACCTACATGTCCACCAACAGATGAACGGATGAACAAAATGTGGTCTCTCCATACAATGGAGAAGGAATGAAGTACAGACACACGCTGCCACATGGATGAACCCTGCAAACATTCTGCTGCGTGAGGCCAGACACAAAAGACCACTGATCGTATGATTCCACTCACATGAAATGTCCAGAGCAGGCAAAGCCATAGTGACAGATGGGAGATTAGTGGTTGCCAGGGCAGAGGGGTGAAGAGCGGAGACTGGGGGCCAACTGCTTAACAGGTTATGGGGTTTGGGTGATGAAAATGTTCCTGAACTAGAGAGTGCTGATGGTTGGACACCACTGTGAATGTACTAGATGCCACTGAGTTGTACACTTTAAAATGGTTAAAATGGTCAATTTTATGTTTATTTTACCAAAAAAACCCACCCCAACCAACCCACTGCTGTGGGAGTAAACCGAGCGATGCCTGTAGCGCGTCTGGCAGTGTCAGCTGGACACGTGCATCCCCAACCCACTCCCGGGGTGGGCGTGGCTACGGACACGGTGGGCGTGGCCACGCCGCAGGAAACAGGGGTCTCGCCTTCAGGCTCAGAGGCTAGAGAGACAAGTGTCTTCAAACAAGATCCTTTCAAAAGTGACAGTTTATAGGGAACTCCAACAGGAAATGGTGCCAACTGCAGCTCCTTGGGTTTGCGTGGGAGAGGGATCTGCCCAGCCCCGAGTCCCCTTCGCGTTCCTGCTCAGAAGCGTGGCTTGAAACCCCGCGACACAGACGCACGGTCATAGTCTCGCTCCCGCCTTCCCCCTGCAAGCTGCCTGGTGGGGGTCTCCCCATGGAGCCGTGAGAAGAGCGAAGGTGACCCCCAGGTGGTGATATCAACGAGCAGTGATGTGACCAGAGCTGACGAGGATTATCCAGAAGCTACCGGAAGCGAGGGAGGCATCCAGCCGAGGAGAGGCACCAACGTCAGGGACCAATTTAACTACCGTATGGTCAAGAGCACCGCAAACAACGCACCCCTGAGCAAAACGCAAGATGCTAAAGAACGCGTACAGAGCACCACTTTAATCATGTAAGATCACACAAGACTGCGTGCTGTTCCGCGTGACGTCCACATAGTAAATGTCTTTTAATGCTTGGGAACGAATCGTCAAACTTAGGAGAGTGGTCCCCTCTGGCATCAGCTACATTATGTTTCACTTCTTAGGCTGGGTGGTGGGTATGTGTTATTTCTTTCTTTTATTATGACTTTGTATTTTGAAATAGGAAGTTGCACACGGAGTTCAGAGGGTTCCTCCGTACCCTGTCCCGGTTTCCCCCTTAATAACATCTTTTTTTTTTTTTTTTTTTTGGCTACACCGCGCAGCATGCAGAATCTTAGTTCCCTGACCAGGGACTGAACCTGCGCCCCCTGCAATGGAAGGGCGGAGTCTTAACCACTGTACCGCCAGGGAAGTCCCCGGTGATAACATCTTACATAACCATATACACCCTATGGTGCTGTTAACTCAGCTACATACCTTCCGTATGTCAGAAACACATCACAGTAAGTTATTTCTTCAAGGATTCTATTTGGCCAAATAGCATAGCACAGGCATCTATCTGCTGCCCACCTGACACGTATGACGGGCTGCAGGGGTGGCCAGGCCAGCCTCTGCATAAAGATCAGGGCTCGACGGCTGCAGCACTGCGCCTCCACTTGCGCTGAGCAGCTCCGTGGACCAACGAGGATGACTCACCTCGATTTTGTCCGTCTTGGCATCTCCCCAGTACAGCTTCCCCTCCTGCAGGTCCAGAGCCAAGCCATTGGGCCAGCCCAGGGAGGTGTTGACCAGGACGCGCCGCTCCTGCCCGTCCAGGTTGGCACACTCGATTTTGGGGTTCTCCCCCCAGTCTGTCCAGTACATGAGGCTGGAGAAGAAGTACATGTCCGTGACATTGCCCATCTGTCCCATCCAGGCTGCACCCCTAGGACTGAGAACAGCACCCACCCACCCACCACGCCCGAGCCCGTGTGCAGGACCAGGGGCTCCACGGGGACAGCAGGGGCTTAACTACACGGGGCGCTAGGACTCAAAACAGCAGACGCCCTGTCAAGGGACCCCGGGGAGGGAGGGGCTGAGCTCCCAGGGGGAGGAAGAGGCAGAGTGGAACCTCCTTCGAGTAGCTGAAGGGCTCCCACGTGCAAAGCAAAGCAGGCAACGCGCTCTCTGCGGCCCCGAGAAGCAAAGCGACATCCCGTGGGGCGCTGGGGGTCCTCCGGGGTGGGGGGGCTCAGCCCAGAGAAAGCGGCCAGAGCTGGGCCCTGAGCACAGCGCCCTTCCGGGCTGGCGGCCTCTCCTCTCCCGCCCCTGAACCCTGTGATCTTATACTTGACCCGACCCCGTTTCCTGAGGTCCTCACACTCGAGGCCAGGGGGGACCCCACCCCCACTTCACAGGTAATGCCCACAGAGGGGGGTGACTTGACAGAGTTCATCGGTGGCAGAGTGGGAGCAGGTCCCCATCTCCCGAACCCAGAGCCCGCATCTCAACACGGGAGCTGGCCACGAGCTCCTGCCTGCCTGGCCCTCAGACCCCGGGGGCCCGCTTCTCACCCCCACCCCCCTCCCAGGGGGACGGCCCTGCCCCTCGACAGCACACAGAGCAGCCTCTGTCTGTCCACTCCCCCCCAGGCTCCGCGGTGCTGCTCGAGCCCTGGGCCTGTCCAGCCACAGCCCCGTGACCCGCCTCCGAGGGCTGTGCCGCTGGGCTTCTATAGACAGAGGCGGCTCCACAGCAAGAGCACGTCTGAAAGCCCCGGGGCGGGGACCAGAGTACAGGCTCCCTGGGCAGAGGGGCTGCAACCCCTGCCCCCCACACACAGCAGGCACCTTGCGGGGTCGCCTCACACTGAGCCTCAGCCCTGGGGCAATGGGAGAAGCACCTGATGCCTTGTGGGCACTCCGATAGGGCACGTGCCTCGTGGGCACAGTTACAGTCAATGCAGCTCAGTCTCTCCCCCTAGGGACCTTCCCGGGACCAGGTGCCTTCCAGGGCTGCCCTCCCAGCCCCTCCAGGCCATCCCCAGGACGTGGGCCCACATCCCGCACTGAGGGCGGGGGCCTTCCCCTGCAGCCCCAGCCCCCAAGAGGTCCCAGCGCTCCTCCCCTCTTGGGGCCTGCCAGTTTCGTGTTCTTGGTCATGGGGTCCCAGGAAGGCACTCAGCTGCTACCCTCTGAGCAGCTGAGGGTCTCAGAAAGGCTCCTACACTGATTGACCAGATTCACAGAATCCTAAATTGCAAAGTTGGAACCAGACTATTAGGTCCAATCCCCACCTCCCAGCTGTGTGACCTTGGGCAAGTCACTTAACCTCTCTGGGCTTCAGCTTCCTCCTCTGTACAACTGTACCTACCCCACGGGGCGAGAGGAGGAGAAAAATGTGCTTGGTACGTGGAACGTGCCTGGCAGAGATCTGGCACGTGTGCAGTAACTGTTGCAGTGGCCACCACTCTTGTTACCATTATTAAACCAGAAATCACCCCAGTGGAGGGCTCCATCTTACAGGTGAGGAGATTGAAGCCCAGGGGGAAAAGTGACTTACCCAAGGTCTCCAGGGTTTTCTATAAAGGTAACCAAGTTCTGTGTCAGAGCTTCTCAAAGTCTGGTCCCCAGATCAGCCCATCACCTGGGAGCTTGTTAGAAAGGCCAGTTCTCCTGAACCAGGACTCTGGGAGCAGGGCCCAGCCATCTGCTTCATCCTGACGTGGGAAGAAAGCCCCAGGACCACCGGCCCCCCGCAGCCTGGCCCCCCGCGCCCGCCTCCAGCCTTACCCCATCACGGGGTGCAGCACGATGGCGCGGGGCTCGTCCAGGTCCTCGGACACCAGGATCTTGCGGGAGGTGCCGTTGAGGCGCGTCACCTCGATGCGGTCGGTGCCCGTGTCCGTCCAATAGAGGTTGCGGGCCACCCAGTCGACTGCAATGCCGTCGGGGTCGTTGATCTCGGTGTTGACCAGCGTCTGTGCCCCCGACCCGTCCAGGTACGCCCTGCGGATGGCACGCACCTCGTCGTCCGTCCAGTACACATAGCCCTCCAGCGGGTCGTAGTCGATGGCGATGGCATGCCGGATGTCGTCCACCTGCAGCACGATGTCTGTGAAGTCCGGCGTGTCCAGCGAGATCCTCCGCAGGTCCGTCCGCCGGGCCAGTAGCAGCACCTCCTCGGCCCCTGTGGACACACGAGCAGTGGGGTCAGAGGCCGGCGGCAGGACAGGAGACCGGGCCTGCAGTGGGCGTGGCAGGAGAGGGGCTCAGCCAGGTTCCGGGGGCTTCCTGGCAAGGACAAGTAATGTTAGGTGACGTTCGCCGAGATCTTCCTACACAGCCACTAGTTCATCCTCAGGAGAGATCCGTGAGGCTGGCGCTATTTGTATCATCATCTCACAGATGAGACAATGGAGGCACAGAGAGGTTAAGCAGCCAGCCAAAAGCCACACGGTCGTCTGGCTTCAATCACTGTGTAAGAGCTGCCTCACGCTCAGTCCCCCTTCTCCCCTGCAAGCCCCTCTCCTGGCCACAAACCAGCCCCAACTACCAGTCCCGCCTGGGCCCTGGGTTCCAGGCCCCACTCGCCCACCATACTCCTCCAAGCCCCAACTGGACTCAAATGCCACCTCTTCCCTGAAGCCCACCCTGCCTCCCCACGCCCATCCGGCAAGGCAGCTTCAGGTCCCACGACCATACACGTCATCACAGGTCCATGGCTCCCAGGTGGCCGTCTCACCCACAGGGGTGAGCGCCCTGGGGGCAGGTGCCCCATCTCCCCCTTTGTCCCCCCAGGAGTATTGCGTACTGTTGTGTATTGGTTTGTTGTGATTTCCAATCTGCTTGTTTACGACTTAAGTGAAGTTGTTTTTATTTAAAGGTGAATCTGTTTACGTGGAGGAAGCTGTGCCAGGGTGACGTCATCGACATGTCCTTGTCGATACACTCAGCTGGCGACGGGCTCCACTGGGGCTTCTCGATAAGGACAATGACGCAATGGACATTGAGGCTTTAAATACCAAGGGTCTGTGAGGACTGGGCAAGGTGACTCCTGGCTGAGCTCCTGCCGTGGACAGGCCACTCCTGGTCGGCGGTGCTGTGAGAGCGCACAACAGCCTCAGGAAGAGAGAAGACAGCTGTTCCTGCCCTGGTGAGGCGCCTCCTCGTAGGCAGTGGTACAGCCACGGAAGGGCCCCTGGAGTGACGACCTTCAGAGCAGCCCACCTGGACCGCCGTCACCAGTGCTGTCACCTGCTAGCTACGTGCCCCGGCAGCAAGGGACCTGAGCTGGCAACCAACACCCAGCTTTTTTTTTTTATTATTTTTTGTGGTACGCGGGCCTCTCACTGTTGTGGCCTCTCCCGTTGCGGAGCACAGGCTCCGGACGCGCAGGCTCAGTGGCCATGGCTCAAGGGCCCAGCCGCTTCGCAGCATGTGGTATCTTCCCGGACCGGGGCACGAACCTGTGTCCCTGCAATGGCAGGCGGACTCTCAACCACTGCGCCACCAGGGAAGCCCAACACCCAGCTTTTAGTTGGACGGACTGACGACGGAGAGCCAACTCGTAGAAAGCTACACCTCAACTACATTTGGACTTGACATCCTTCACTTTCCCTTTGCCTGGAACAATAATGTAATTGGTTTGGAGTATATTATTTCTTTATTGACTTATTAAGAGACATTATCCCATATGGTATTGGCTTGTGAACTATTATCATTAATATTATAAATCCTAATTCCCACAGCGAACCTGTGTTAGATAAATTATTGGCAAAGACAGTCTCGGTCTCTGAGCATAACTTGCCCTAAACAAAACACATCTGACTCTGCCCTGGATCCTCCCTGGACTCATCAGAACTCCCAGCAGAAGTAGCCTCACGTGCTACTACCTGGAGCCTCACATGGACTCAGGGACCCCAGGGGTGCTGGCCAGCCGTGACTCGGACACCTCCGGAGGCTGCTGGGGTCAGGGTGTGGCCCCTCCCCCAGAGCTGGGTCACAGTCCACGCACTCATTCTGGACCTTTCTGTTCTTAAGGCTCCTGCTTCCTTGAAGCAGGAAGATTAGGCTCACAGACACCTCTGGCACCCGGGGGCCACTTGCCTGGTTTGACGAAAGGCGCAGAATGGGGAAGGACCCACCTGAAGTTACACAGCTGTGAGGGATGGGGGCAGCCCAGCATCCTCCTTATGCCGAGGCCCCCAGGCCTGGGTTCTGCAGCCGACTGCCTGGTCTCCTCATGCCTGGTCCAGCCGCAGCCCTCGAACAACTGACCGGCTTTTTGTCACAGGGGTGGAGCCCTCGGAACCCAGCGTTTTACAGGGGTTCTGGGGCCCCCTGCCCTGCATTTCAATTACGGGCAGGAACCCCATCCGGACTGTGCTGCTCTCAGGCCCAGAGTTCATAACCCGATCCTCCCGCTAGAGGGCGCGCACGGACAGCCTGGCTTCACGAGCCCAGTGCTGGGGAAACTGGGGCAGATGGGGGGGAAAGGGAGGTGCCCAAGGTGCCCGGCTACGTCGGAAACGTCCCAGATCCAAACTCAGATTTCGTTAGAGGTGTCCATGCAAGTTCTGGTTTGGTATGTGCTGGAGGGAGGGGAGGGGAATTCTGCATTTCAACCGATCGTCTTCTGCTGGGCTCCATTCCCAAAATGTTCTAGTGACATCAGACCCGTTTTTCAAGGGCCAGGTCGCAGGCCTCCTCCTCCTCCAGGAAGCTGCTCCTCCCTCCCCTCCAAGTGGATGGACTGACCACACATACATGCCTCCTGCCCCTCTGCTTGCGCACCGCCCTTACTGGCTCACAGGGATTCTGGCACATTGCCCCTCTGTGCTCTGCAGCCCCCAGCACGGGGCCATGCCCAGAACAGGTGCTAACATCCTAGGACAAGCAGGGAGAATTCAGGGCAGAAACCTCCTGGCCCTGCCCCTGCTGTGTGATGCTGAGCAGGTCCCTAACCCTCTCTGGGCCTTAGTTTCTTCATTTATAGTGAAGAATCAGCCCAACCTGATGGTGTCTGCGTCCCCATTTAGCTCTGACATCAAGGGGACCATAAACCAAACTCTACGGAGGGCTCTGCCTTAATCTGCCACCGTGGAGGCTGGGGGAGGGAGCTCCCCAGAAAATGCTGGGTCCCGATGGAACCAGACGCTTGGTCGCCAAACATATTTCCAGCCTGTTTCACCCGTCCCTGTTCCCATGATCCTCCAGACACAATCACCTGAAATAGCACAGTCCTCACACCAATCTCTGAGGTGTGATCACGCCCCATTTTCCTGAGGAGGAACCCGACGCAGAGAGAGGTTAAGCTCCCCGCCCAAGGACACACGGCAGCAAGGTACCACGAAACACTTCAATCCCCGGAGCTGGTACACGCAGGAAGCCCAAGATCGATGCGCCGGCCCAGCAGGCTCGCTCACCCCCCCGGTCTCTTTGTGGGCAGCTACACTAGGCCAGGTCCCGGACCAGGTGCTGGGGCTCGGGGTGGACACAAAAGATGCGGGAATTGCCCCCACGGTGCTCCTGGGGTCACAAGGCAGAGACCTTCAGTGAGCAAGACCATTAACGAATCAGTGCTGGGAAGGAAAGCTGGGGTCACGGGCACCTGTGAAGGGGGCCGGCTGAGACTGGTGGCGGGAGACTGGCCTCCAGCTGCAAGAGCCTCTGGGCTCCATGTGGCTGTGACCATGCAGCAGATTCCAGCAGCCTGTCCCCGTGGGCACAGAGCCACCAGGGGCGAAGTGTGCCTGGCGCCAGTCCTCTGGTAACCAGGTCAGTACAAAGCCTCAAGCACACCCCGCCATCAGGGAACCCCATTTTCAGCATTCCTCAGGATTAAGTCTCTGTGGCTGAGGCAGTAATTAAACTCTGGGATAAATCTGTAGGTGTTAATTGACTCCAAGGCTGGGGCGGGGGAGGTGTCTCCGACACCCTTGGGCTGCAGAGCCTTTGAGGTTTTTACCTGAGTTTTGCCGAGAAAAATGCAGAGAACAGGACCCCCAGGAAAGAGCGGCGGCCCGGCCCGTCTGCCTGAAGGTCTGAGCAGGCGGTGCCCAGCACAGAGGCGTGGGGCACGCCATCCAGGGCCAGGCCAGCGGGGGCAGCTGTGAAGAGAGGACCACGGGCCTGGGCCCCTTCCTTGACAGATGCTCATCAGGGCAACCTCCAGGGTCGTTTGTAGGGAGGTGTGAGCGGCAGCCTGCTTCGGGCCCCCTGGGGTAGGCGCAGGGCGCTGTGCCGGCCCGGAAGAAGAGAGGCCAACCCCCTCCCTGGGACCAGACACAGAGCCTGGGGAGGAGTTCGTTTAAACACCAGGGAAGTAAACTGTTTAGAAACTAACAGTTTGGCCAAATGGTTTCCTCTGGGGTTGTTTAAACAAACAGCCTGCCCCACAGAGCTGCCAGAGAAAGTGAAACCTTCCCTCCTGGCTGCGCAGAGGTCCCTGGAGCCTCGTCTGGGCAGGCTCCTGACCTCTGCCCCTCCCCCTGCACGCAGGCAGGAAGGAGCGGGGGCATCCGTGCCTCGGAGCCAAGCGCAGGGCACGGGGCACAGGCCAGGCCAGGGCACCGCCTTCCTGGCAGTACGTTCGCCTCAAAACAGAAAAGCAGACTGGACAGAGGGCCCAATGCCACGGACACGTCCAGCTCAACAGCCTCCCTCCCTGCCAACATCCATTCAGACCAAGCCACCGTCCGTTCTGGGGCACCGTCCCTGTGCCAGGCCCGGGATCGCACAAACGAGGGGACACAGAGAAGGGCTGCTGTAACATCCCCACCAACCGGGTGGCTCGGATCAGCAGAGACTGATTCTCTCACAGTCCTGGAGGTAGAAGTCAAAACCCAAGGTGCTGGCAGGGCCGCGCTCTCGTGGAAGGCTCTGGGGAGCATCCTTCCTCGCTCCTCCCGGCTTCTGATGGTTGCCAGCGATCCCTGATGTTCCTTGGTTTGTGACTAGATCCCTCCAATCTCTGCCTCCATCTTTACGTGACCTCCTCCCCTGCGTGTCTGTGTCTAAATCTCCCTCTTATAAGATGACCAGTCACTGGGTTTAGGGCCCATCCCAATCCAGCATGACCTCATCTTAACTTGGTTACAACTGCAAAGACACTACTTCCAAGTTAGGTCCCATCCACAGGCTCCGGGGTGGGGATTTCACTGTGTGTATTTGGCGGGGGTGGGGGGG